GAACGAAGGTTACGGCGGACAGGTGCAGGATGAGAAGAGATTAGTTTGTTATGTTTGGAAAGGGGTAGAGAGAATGAAATGAAGAAGTGATTGGATGTGTGGAGCGGGTTTACAGAGAGGTTAGAAGCAGTGCAGTTCCTTGAGACTATGAGATCAAGGACATTGCCAGCTTTATGAGTCGGTGGGGATGGAGACAGCGAGAACCAAAGGCGGTTAACAGAGATGTTAGTTCGTCTATCTTCCCTGTCTGGAGGTTGAAGTCTCCGAGAAGTACAGCGGGAGGGCCAGTTTCAGGGATGTGTGAGAGGAGATTATCTAATTCCTCCAAGAAGTCCCCCAAGGCGCCTGGTGGATGGTAGAGAACAACAATGGTTAATTGTATAGGATGGGTTACTGTGACGGCATGGAATTCAAAGGTGGAAGGAGTGAAGTTAGGTAGCTTGAAGAGGGAAAAGCTCAATTTGGGAGAGAGCAGGAGACCAGTGCCACCTCCTCTGCCAGTGGGTCTGGGTGTATGGGAGAAGGAATATGCAGTGGAGAGAGCTGCAGGGGTGGATGTGTTTGATGGAGTAATCCAGGTCTCAGTGAGAGCAAGGAAATCCAGGGTCTGCAGGGAGGCGTAGCCAGAGATGAAGTCAGCCTTAGGAACAGCTGACTGGCAGTTCCACAGGCCAACTGAAACTAGATGTTGGATCTCAGTGGAGCATGTGGGATAGACGAGAGCAGGCCGGTTATAGCGATTAGGAGATACACGGGGCCAGTGATAATTGCGAGAAGACACATGAACAGGAATGGAGAAAATACACATGATTATAGCATGAGGGGCTAGATAAAAGTAGTTTCTTAGTGAATGTCCTGTACTGGTCTTAAAATCTCATAACATCAGCTTTTAATGTTCCTCTTGGATGTTCTTCTTGACCCTCAGAGAAGGAGAAAATGTTGAGTCGTGTCTTTCAGGCATGTCCTTTCCTGACACTTTCCTGACACTATGTGTTAAATATCTTTGCCTTCAATACATTAAATTAGAAAGCTAACAAAGTCATATTGCTAAATATCTAAATGTAACTTTTTGCATGGAAAAAACCCTCAACTTAACTGATGTGTAGGTGATCTAGTATTTAGTATTGTTTAATGGAATGTATATCAGGTCAATACAGTATTCAAGTCAATACTTCATTTATTTAAACCAATATCTTTCTTGATTCTTTGTACAGTATGAAACATAGAGTCTTTGTACCTGTGCTGAAGTTCACTGCTGTGAGGAGTCCAGTTCTGTCTCTCACTCTCTGGTCCAGCCTGTCTGCATCACCTGGACACCTTAAACAAACAGATATATATGTAAAGTACCATGTGTACAAACAATATAACTTATTCTCTTCTGTTGAACATGTTGGATTGTGTATTGTCCGAGTCAGGGTCCTTTTTATTTTACTGTAACTTTGGAAGTTGTGTTACCAATGCTTACTGTTTATTTGATACCAATTTGGTAATGCAATTAATAAAAACAACAAGGTTTGGGTTCGTTCTTCAGATGACTGTGACGTTAACGTGTAAGCTCAATAATAAACTCCAGCTCAACCAACCATATTGTAATATCTAAGTAATCATCTTGAAATATGACATTATTATTTGTAATATACACACATCTTATTGTGAGGTTGATTTCACATACACTACTTCGACATTAGCTTGTCTACATACTTGAGCATAGCCAATTTAAATTAACCTTAGCGATGCATACAGTTCCTACCTACATAATAAAATATCTCTAAGTTACAAGGATGACCTTATTTTATCAACCTCAAACAGAAGCCGTTTGTTGTACAGTATTATCCCACTTAACTTGGAGACTACGATTAGCATCATTAGCACCGATGTAGCTACCACTCGCTTACAGGCTAACCCAAGCCTTCACATTCATTACGTAGCTGATTGAAATCATTAACACATACATAAAGTACTCGAATTTCACTTACCGCAAAACCGCATTCATGCACCGTCTGTTTCAACCGCAGAGCGAGTCACAATAGTCCGATATATAAGCATGAAGAACAAACAACCACGGCCGGCTTCAACTTGTGTTCCCTGGATGAACTGAGCAGGCAGAGTCCCTGACAGGGACTCCCTGTAGCTTCACGGAGCAGGTAGCAGAGAGACAAGAAGCTATCAGCAGCAGTCACTTCACAGAGCCGTCACTCAATGTGACCACGCCCTAATATATGCATAACTTTAAGGCTTAATATTAATTAAACAGATGAGTTGAGAAAAAATGCACCCCCCCAATCCATATTCACGAAGGGGGGAACTATACAGAGAATATTTTTTTTTTAACCACGATGTAAACATGTTTATTTCTGCTGTAAAGTTGGGCATTTTAACATGGGGGTCTATGGAAATTGCTCCCTTCTGCAGACTGCTCCTACTGGCCACTAGATGAACTGCAGTGTGTGGCACTTCCGTATTGGCCTCCCGGCTCTTCCCCAGAGTTTGTCGCTTGGGTTGGACCCATTTTCTGCTTTACCTCATAAGGCCCTTGCCATTTTGCGAGGAGTTTGTTGTCTTGTGTGGAGAGCATAACCAAAACCTTTTGTTCAGCGGAAAAGCTCCTCTCCCGGGCATATCTGTCATACCTCTTTTCCCAGTGGGTTTTGAGCAAAGAAAGTGGGCCTCTTACCTCATGTCCATATAAGAGTTCAAACGGGGAGAACCCAGTTGATGAGAGAGTAGAGATATATATATATATATGGGTCATTCCAGAATTGGAGGACAATTTAGACACCAACATTTTTGAAAAATGAACCTTTTATTTTATGTATTTAGGAAAAACAGACAATAAACCATCAACAAAAGTGATTTGCCCAGCTAGGCATCAAATGTATATTTTCCAATGAAGAATTACCCCTGTTACTCTAATTATAGTAACAGGGTTGAAAGTAACAGGGTTGAAAATCAATGCTAATTTGAGCTTTAACCTCAGGAATTATTGCTAGATGTAGCATGTAATGCTACTTTCAAGGCAAGGACAAACTTGGATATCTAATGCAAGAAAGATAACTTTGAAACTAATATGCTTTATTCTGATAATATCAGTAACAGGGTTGAGTGGGTCAGAGTGCCACACTCTTTTAAGACTGAAAAGATTGTAAAAATATGAAAAATAAAAGAGAGGACTTGTGTTGTGGTCTACCCATGGCACTAGCACATGGCTTGCTGATGTCACTTCCACTGTGTCATCTGATTTACAGTTTTTTCACTTCCTGTGCCAATCTAAAAAGGTTTGGGTAATAGGGTTGAACGCATGTTGAGGGACACACCTTCTGTAGGCTGTTTTTATTATATGTACAGCACTTTGGCTCGACCAAAAATCGTTTATAAATGTGCTATATAAATAAAACTTGATTTGATTTGATTTGATTTGTGCAAAATTACTGTTATTTAAAATATGTTTATGATTTAACAAATTGATTTTACCATTACAAGAGACATATAGAATAATACAAAAAAAAGTAAATAAAATCCCTATTTTAAATGTTATATTTGACATGCAAGTTGGTCACCAAGAAGCGGGGACAAGAGAAAAATGCCATTTTAGGGGATGTTCGAGAGCTATTTGATCATTTAAATAATATTTTGAAACCACTTTTTCTACAACTTTATATACATTTTGTCTCAAGACAAGTATGTTTAACACAACAAGTGCATGTTTTAGCATTTTGGACATGGATTATTAGATTTCTTATATGGGGGACATGAAATGTCCTCCAATTCTGGAATGAACCATATATATATATAAATATAAATGGGTGTACAGGTGTGAATGTACACATATAAGTATATCGTTTTTATATATTTACTGTTGTGCCTTTTTATTTATACCTTTTTAATTAGTGAATATGTGTGTATGAGTAGGTTTTTTTGTATATATACTCAAGTGGGTGTACAGGTGTGTATTTTGGCACATGCAGTATGTATATCTTTTTTATATATTTTAATTATTTGGGATGGCTAGAAACAGCATTTTGATCCGTCTGTCGTGACACACGGCACGACTTATCTCAGCCAATGACAGCTCTGCATGCATCCCCTGGATATTGTTTTATTAACTGCTTTAATCGCAAGGCGATGTTTACAGTGAGAACAGCTGTGAGGTCCGTGCAGAAAGCAGAGCAGTGTGTAAAATATATATCACTCAGTATAACAGGCCTACTCTCTTTATTTGCTTTAGTTTAGTATCTACAAACAAAGAGTCGATATTTTTCTAAAACCATTCAGTGCTTCACATAATAAAATACACAATGGCTGTAGCCTGATATATTATATGCTTTAGGAGGTGTGTGTGTGTGTGTGTGTGTGTGTGTGTGTGTGTGTGTGTGTGTGTGTGTGTGTGTGTGTGTGTGTGTGTGTGTTTGGTGTCGTATGCTTACTTTTAATACTTGTAAATAAAACTCTTGGCCCGTAATTTCAGTTCCCCATTGTAGCGACCAGAGGGGGGGGGATATATCCAGTCTCTGATAGTGTTACGTTATTATGAGAGTGCTCTCATACTTGTTTGATTCTGAAATTGTATATATTTATGTAAATAATGTGTGTGTATATGTCCGCATCTGTAGCCTGTTATTGTCTCATTATACCGCACTGTGAATGAATCAAAGTAAATATATAAGTGGTCATGAACACATCTGTCCATCAGACAGAGTGCTGTGCCTCCTGTCATCATTAATGGACGTCTCTTTAAAATGACCGCTCAGAGGAGAGGAGTTCTCATTTCTCTAACCGCCTGCTGCTTCCACTCCTCTCTCCTCGGCTCCCCTCCTCGGCTCCTCCGCTCGCATCTCCTGCGGGAGGGACTAAGTATCGAGGATAGGAGTCGAGGAGGGGAGTTAGAGAAATGAGAAACCTCTTTTGACTCTTGAAGCTCACAAACATTTAGGCATTTCATTGTGATACCAAAGTGTGTTCTTCTCCTCACAACACTGGATGCATGTTTTTTAACGTTGCAGGATGATGCGCGAGGATCCCCGGGTGGTGCTGAACGTCGCTCACACTGTGGTGAAGAGGGTCTCGCCTTTCGTCCGGCAGATTGACTTCGCCCTGGACTGGATGGCTGTGGAGGCTGGCCGTGCTGTTTACAGGTATTTACGATTAAATACTGACACAACTCACATCAACACTAATTAGATATATTTATATGAAATAAACTTTATTACACCATGAAAACACACCTTTGTTAAGCTTATCCTAATCATTTATGTCCAATGTTCATTTTGTACATTGGGGATACTAGAACAACTAACAAAAGCATGCAACTAAAGAAAATCATTTTAAAAATCAGTTGTAAAAATGTTCATGCCAATACAATGATAGCATATATGTGTGTTCTCTTGTTGATTGCGGTGATGTTTTATTGCAGGTGAACTTGAGTGCAAGAAAAAGTGCTATTTTTATGATTTAATTGTATTATTATGATTTGTTTTACTTTTAGAGTATACTGCATTCATTTCACAAACCATCATTTTAAAGCCATTAAGAGAAAGAAACAATAATTCTAACTAAATGAATGAAAATGTGGGGAGATGTTGAATCTTTTAATTCCTTATTGGTTTCAGACAGGGGGACAAGTCAGACAGCACCTTCATCGTGCTGAGTGGCCGACTCCGCTCTGTCATTGCAAAGGATGATGGGAAAAAGGAGCTGGCTGGAGAGTATGGCCGTGGGGATCTCATTGGTGTGGTGAGTGTTCACAAACTGCTGATTAGACACTCCATTGACAAACTGGGGACAGTTCAATCAGGTAAGGCTTTGTTTTTTGTTAAAAGAAAATGTGTTGACACAGGCGTGATATGAAAGACATTTTAATAGTCTTTGGCGATCAATCCTGATATTGAGAGAATATCAGGATTGAATAGGAAGTGGGGTGAAGAATATACTGAAGATCCGGCTTTGAGGAGATGTGGATTAGCTCTCCTGGCACTGGATGTGATGAATGGAGTTGGATGTGCTGGAGGCGGGCCAATATCTCCAGTGGTGAGCTCTGCAAAGAGGGTTGATAGCATTATCTATTCCATCTGACCTCCGTCTGACAGATTTCCAAGGGTAATATCACTGAAAAAAATGAGGTTAAGAGCATTATTGTCACCCAAATGTTGAAACTTGAGGGTCACCTTTTCTGACTTAAGTTTACAGACAACTTTATTCACTTCATGGACAGACTGTACTGTAGCATTTTTAATATCTGATGCTAAACTACAAGTGTTAAACATGACATCTGGTCTGGTCTGCTTAGCAACGAATACTATCTGTCCTATTTTTTACCTCTTTTTCAGTTTCTTTAAGGGGGGCTGCCTCTGTACAGCATGTGCTGCTTGTAAATGTAGCAGCTGTAGGTTATCAATGTAACTATGCTGATGTACCTGAACTACCCCTTTAACAGTAGTAAAATCCATCCCCACATAGCAGAAATGTTCGTTCTCCTCACGTCCAACATGGACGTCAGACTTCAGTAGAGTAATAGAGTAAATATCTCTTGACAGCTCCATGCCTTGCAAAAATGCTGATTTGATGTCCATAGAATAGACTTGCCACTGATTTTGACAAATCACTGCTAACAGCAGTCTAAGTGATTCTGAAGCAAAGGTTGGGGAATCTCTCTGTAACTCATGGACATTAACTTATTCAAAACCTCAGGCTACAAGTCTAGCTTCGGGCACAATGCCTTTGGAAGTTTCTTTGAGACTGCAGACCCATCTTGTGGAGATGCATTTCTGCCCTGCATCTTCAATTTATTCAAAAATATAATTATTCTGCCAGTTGATTATTTATTCCTGTTTAGCTGCATCAAATTAGATGTCTTTCGCTATAAGTACATCAGAATCCATATTTTCAGTTTCAATGTTAAGACTATCAACAATTGACAAGTCAAGTGACTCCTTTTTTCCATCACTGCCATCAGATTCAAGATGTTGCAGGTTATACCAGTTTTTGTGCTTACCTGTGGCTTTGCCTCTGCCTAAAACTGTGGCTCGATGTTGAACACCGTAATTTCTGTAAATGTTACAGTCTGACATGCTTTCAACTTTACACCTGAAGAAGTCACAGGGTTAACATATACATTGTGCTGTGTTTCAGTCTGTGTCACATTTATATGTGTCATGGGTGAGTGTAGTACTTCTCCTACATCTACTTAATATGGCTGCTGCTGCCCTGTTCATAGTCTGCATTGTGTTCACTCTCTGCGCTATGTGCTGCATTGACTAAAGTAATATCCTCACTTTCTGCCTGTCTGTCGGGATCATCTTGTATAGTTTGCTTATCCTCGTCCTGTGTGTTAACATGACACCGTCTAGAGCAGGGGTTTTCAAAGTGTGGGAAGGTGAGCCTCCCCTCAGAGAACATAAGAACAGCCGCGCCCCCCCTCCCAATTATTATTGCTATTATTATTGCTATTATTATTATTGTTGTTGTTGCTATAATGCAGGGGTATTATTATCCAGTGGAATGCCCTTACCTACTGGCCTAGTTAAATCAAAATGGTTACTTTTTTTGGCTGGGCAGTGTAGTTTTACACACCGTCTTATTTGACTTTCTCAGGACTTAAAACTGTTTTTTGAGGGCAGACCCCCACACAGAAAAATATATATTTACACACGTAAGGTCATCATCTTAATAGTTTGTTATGCTCATCGAGTCATCCGTGAGCAGAGCATCAAGTTGGCATGCCTATAACAGCTGACTGCGGCGATTACCATCTTGTTCAGCAAAACGCCTCACAAAATTAGTAAGATCAACAGCTTTAGTGCGTTTTGATTCAATGCTGAGTACAGCCACACTGACAGTCTCTTCTCTGTCATTGTAGACCACAAATACCTCATTCCTTCAGTGCTTGGGTCCGAATGCTTCTCGTTTTGTGCCGTCCCGTTCAAATAAAATCGCCGCCAATCACATTTCCAAGCTCGCTCCGGGGGAGGGGTTACAAGGCTCGCGTCTTGTGCTGCATTCACTTGCACTCGGACATTAGGGATTAGAAAATCTTTGGAGGGAGTTGAAAGTCCGTGTTGCCCAGCGACAGCCCCAAAACATCACTGCTCTAGAGGAGATCTGCATGGAGGAATGGGCCAAAATACCAGCAACAGTGTGTGAAAACCTTGTGAAGACTTACAGAAAACGTTTGACCTCTGTCATTGCCAACAAAGGGTATATAACAAAGTATTGAGATGAACTTTTGTTATTGACCAAATACTTATTTTCCACCATAATTTGCAAATACATTCTTTAAAAATCAGACAATGTGATTTTCTGGATTTTTTTTTCTCATTCTGTCTCTCATAGTTGAGGTATACCTAGGATGAAAATTACAGGCCTCTCTCATATCTTTAAGTGGGAGAACTTGCACAATTGGTGGCTGACTAAATACTTTTTTGCCCCACTGTACATGCTTTTCAGCATACAATATTAATTAAAGTGAAGCACAGTACATATATCCCTTATATCCCTTCACAGAACTAAAGCATGCTTTTAAATAAGGTTTAATGAGATGATGGAATCAAAGCTGAACTGTATAACATAAAAAGGCCCACATGCTGAAAACCCCACCCCAGAAGGGGGTCTGAGGGGATTCTCCCCCAGGAGATTTTTAGAAATACTAACATATAAACTACGCATTCTACACTCTGAGAAGAAAATAAATAAATGTATTACTACCCAACATATTAATAATATGTTATGCCATTGTTTGTTTTTCACTTTGTGCTGACAGCTGAACTTGCTGCTCCACACAGAGAGAAGAGTAAAGAGGAGAGAGTCTGTGTGACTTACTTTAAATTGTGGATAAGGGTAGATAGCTCCCATTGTTCTGTGACCTGTCAATCATCAAACCGGGGGTCATATTTCATTATGTGTTCATTTGTATCTGAAGTTGTACCCATGGATGTATAAAGAAGTTGAGAACTACTGCTCTAGAATACCACCATGTCTCACAAATACGATAGCTCCATCCTGACCAATAACTACACCTGGACCCTTCCACTCTATGCAGTCTGCTCGTTTGTAATATACTTTGTCACCTGTCTCGTACTTGTCATCTGTGGGTCTAAGCTGTTTGTGTAGTGCCCTCCTTATTCTCTCTGAACATTCAGCTTCTGTGAAAGCTTTCCTGGAAGCGTGCAGTACTGATATCTGTTCTCCTCTAGCGCTTACAGTGGTGCCCTCAAGAGCAGGGAGTGTATCAACTAACACAGAAGGCAAGTTAGGATTCTGACTAAAAACGAATTGATGTGAACACTGTGCATACTGTTCTTAGCCATAAGGACCCAGTCTAGGGCAGTGTGCCAGTCACATCCATTTTCCCATTTCACCTTTTGGATGATTTGTCTGATTGTGTCTCTCCAATAGTCCGTTGCTCCAGGGACTGTATCCTGCTGTTCTGGACTCAATTTTAAAGTTTTCTGCCATGTTTCTGATCTCCTTATTATTGAATTATCCTCCATTGTCACTGTAAAGACGCTGTAGCGGGCTGTGGACACTTATCCATGTGCGAATGAAGGAGTTGAAAATGGAATTTTTTGTCTTCATAATGTTCCCTGCACTGAAATGTGTAAAGTGTTCGATGATATGGAAGTACCATACACCAGGTTCCACTTCATATAGGTCCACTGCTACTGTCTCATTGTACTCCGAGGCTAGAGGCAAACCCACAGCAGGCTTTGGCTTGGTCCTGCTGTACCTCTGGCAAATGTCACAGTTACGTACTGTTTGTTCCAAAATACTGACACATTCCTTGTCTTTAATTCCAGAGCTTTCGATGAGTCTTTGTCGTTGATCTGCTGATGCGTGGCCAAACTGTAGAGTTTCAGGAGAACTTGCTACTTCTCACGAGTAGACATGTTTTTGTGACTACAAGAACGTCATCTACAATTGGTCCCTTCTCAGTGTCTTTGTCTCTGATGTCAACATAGTAGAGGTCAGAACTGGTGAACTCGAGAGGTACAGGCTGCTTAAACATCTAAGCACTGTCATTTTCCATGTCCAAAACTGTTCAGTTTTCAGGGACGTTTTGCTTAGGAGAAGTGGAATATCAGCTGAAACCACTTCAGCTTCAACACTGCACTTTGTCTTTCCTGTTTTAGCTGGTAGTTTTACTTTTCTTGTAGAGTTCACTACATTTCCACCACCAAATTGAAATGGCCTGCAACTGGGAGTTTCGGTTTGCAGCATCTGATTAACTTGTTCTTGGCTAAGTTCCTCCATGTAGTTTTCTAGCCATTTCTCTCCACATACTGTAAGAAGTGCAAGCAGTGTCAATAATGGCTGACCCATCGACTCAGTCAGAAATATTTATATTCACCCCATCAATGCCAGTTGCACAGCATCAGGAAACACCATGTTATACTTTTTCATCCGGTTGTATCTCTGTTCAAAGTCAATAATGTAGTCCGCCATGGACACGGCACTGTCCTTTGAAATGCCGTCAAAATGCGAGTAGGCTTCATACTTTCGGTCTTTTTCCTCCTTTTTGTCGAGCTCTGTAACACGTCTCCAGACATTGACTTCATTTTTCCAACACTCGTAGGGCATGGCTTCGTCAAACTTTGACAGAGTTTTATAGTTAGAAACCATCCTCTGCTACCGATGTTAAACGTAATAAACACAACGTTTGTATACTTTAACTGCTTTATTGAGCTCGCACATAATCAACCGACAACTTCCACATACTGAACCAAAACTGTGCATGTGCTACACAGGTTAAGGGGAAACTCTTCCCTGCAAAGCACATTGTACAGGGGGTAAACATGTTAACAATAACTTGTGCTTAAACTTCATTCAAGCAGCTGTTGTGTGTCCTGTGCAGGTGGAGGCGCTGACCCACATGAACCGAGCCACCACGGTGCACGCCATCCGGGACTCGGAGCTCGCCAAGCTCCCTGAAGGCGCTCTGAACTCCATCAAGAGGAGGTATCCTCAGGTGGTGACCAGGCTCATCCACCTGCTGGGAGAGAAGATCCTGGGCAACATGCAGCAGGTCAGCGGACCTCTGGCTGGTAATTACATCCCCCGTTTTGTTAGCCCGCAGCTAATTCTAAAAGTCTAATGGAATATGGCCCACACATGAAACTTCTTATAATGTACTTCTTAAATATGTATGTAAACATATATTAAACAGTAGCATTCATGTGTTAATAAGCCCACATTTTTTAATTCAGAAACTTAAAGTTGAGAACATTTTCGAACAAATATGAGTTGATAAAAATAGCCAAATAACTTATTTCCATAACCAGCTTGAAAAATGCCCTTCCTATTGAGGGGCCCAGCCCTTCGTATGCTTTTATGTATGTGGCCCTCAGTAAAAAAAAATGTGGACACCCCTGGACTACAGTGTGTATGCAAGTTTTGTTTTAGGTTTTTTATATATTTAGTTTCAGTCTTACAGTAGTTGTATTTGTTTGTGTGAGTGCCAGGTGTAATGTCTCAAACATATTTAGGTGCATTAACATACAAAATACATGTTTGGAGAATTATGTAGCAATGGTATTAATGTTGAAATATTTTGATTTGGTAATCAACATTAGAGCTGAGCTGAAACGCTTGGTTAAATGACATTTGATTCAGGGTATTTAATTAAAGACTCTTGGAGAATAATGCATAGCTCCATCTCCTGGGATGTCAGGTCTGTTCAATTTCTGTGGTTCAATGTCACAAGAGTTGACTTACCCCCTTTTGGGGTATCATTATAACAGCTGATATGAATCAGTTAACATGTGGAGATCAATTAGGCTTTTAGCATGGATTAAGATACAAGAATGCAGAATAGATAAATAAGGAAGATTTACTCAGTAGACATTGTTTTTTATTGAATGTTGCGAACCAAAAAGTTATTTTCTGCCTAAAATATGTAGTGAGAAAACTCCTCCTCTGCCCTGCAGCTCGTGGTCTGGCCCTCCACACCCCCACCAGCAAGTGGGATGTTGGGAACCCAGCCTCAAACCTGTCCACTGTGTCCATCCTGCCGGTGTCTGAGGACGTCCCCCTCACAGCCTTCACTCTGGAGCTGCAGCTGGCACTCAGCGGCATCGGTACACACACACACACACACACACACACATACACACACACACACACACACACACACACACACACACACACACACACACACACACACACACACACACGGTCCAGTTTGCCATTTTTAGAGGCACCACAGGCCTGCTTCCACCGCAGCAGGCAGAGCTGGGAGAAGTACTCAGATCGTGTACTTAATAATATTAGCAGTACCAGAGTGTAGAAAGTAATAAAGAAAAGTCCTGCATTGAAAATGTTACTCAAGTAATAATACTAAAGTATGAGCATCAAAATATACTTAACCTGTTAAACCCCATGCAAAACTGTGTCTCAGGGCTTCTTAACATTTAACAACCTATTAATGTGTCATACCCACTTAACGGGAAGAAACTCAGCTAACTGACGATATGAAATGTTCTTACCGAAACAAAACACAACTCTAACGCCGAGCGTCTGAATTAGCATTAAGCGAAAGAGTGCTAACGCACTTAGCACATAACTCACGGTAGCGATATTTTATACTTCATGCAATCTGCACAAACTAGATATCATATGAAAGCTGAGATTCCAATGGTATAAGTATCATCACTGTGCGACCAACCTTACCGTTGCTGTTTTCTGATCAAAAATTGTGTTCAAGGGCATTAAAACGCATATAAACGCTGCTGAAGGTTAATCCAATGTCTCTGTCACTTTGAAATGATTACTGATAATCCATCATAACATTTATGTCAATAAACAGAGTTTTCATATAGAGTGTATGAGCTTCTGGTTTTGGGCATGCTGGCTGCGCATCAGTCTCATTCACCAATGGTAATGTTTAGATGGATTTAGGAACATCCCCTCGATTCTATTGGCTCTATTGGTTCAAAAGAGGTGTCAATCACCAACATTGACCGATGGGTTCCAGAGATATGGCAAATACACCCAAATGACCCCAGAAGTGGGGTTTTTTTTCACTTGTTTTGCATCAATCTTGATACAGGGTACTTATTATATGTTATAGTTTGGATTCCTAAAGCTTTTTGTCTACTATCCCATCATTCAAGGGCAGTGGCGGCTGGTGGAAATTATTTTAGGTGGGGCTATTGTAATGGTGAATAAACAACACGGGAAATGATGACTTCTGGTGATGTTAGAGATATGAGAAGACTGATCAATACCTCCATTATCTTCAGTGTGGTTAGCTATGAATCTTCCAAAACTTCCGAATACCTTGTCCTGGACATAGTTTCTACAGTAAACTGTGCAACAGTACAGTAGGCCCACACAAACTGCAGAACACCGGTTCTTTGGGAACACTCAAATGATTGAATTCCCATTTAAAATCAGGAGACTAAATACGAACATTATATGCAGACACAGCCGTGGTTCAGAAACACAGAAATATTAGAAAACAGACCATTAAGGCAAAAAAATCTAGTTTGATGGATGCTGTCAAATCTCAACTATATACAATAAAATGTGTGTGTGTGTGTGTGTGTGTGTGTGTGTGTGTTTATTTATCACGGGCACATAGTATCTGTCCCCGGCTGTTTGAAGAGCAAGCATGGGAAACAAAAGACAGCGTTTACCTGTTTGCATCCAGCTAGTCACACACAGTTACAATCACACTCCCTGTAATTGCCATAATTAATAGATAGTTTAGCTTCTCATCATCATTTGCTGTGGCCCACTGATGTTAACGATCGTAACTGAAAGGCTGCCTGCCAAACGTAAACATTCAGCCACGTGACTCGCAAACTCTGGCGAGAGTTTTACACAAGACGGATCCTTTCTAGCCATAACCCTGCACCGGGCGCTGACATTGGCGCCCGGTGATCATCAGATTTGACGACGCTGATTGGCTGAAATTATGTTTCGGAGGCATAGTTTACAGATAGCAACAGTCAGCTGCTAGTGGATGCTGCTGCACTGGTTGAGGGCTCCTCTCTTAGCGCCCAGACGAGAGAGGGTAATGATACACGGGCAAGGCCAGGCAGGAAACATGTGACTTATCAGTAACTTTAGACGTCGTAACACAATTTTAAACGATATTCTATTGTAGATTATACATTTTACTGATACCAATTATATAATATTGACCTTGTTCATTAAAAAAAAATAAAATATTTTTTTATATATATATTTTTTTTTTATGTGGGAAGAGGTGGGGCGGCACCCCTAGCGCCCCTATGGGCCGGCCGCCACTGTTCAAGGGTGTTTTTCACTATAAGGTGCAGGTCTCCCTTGAAAAAGAGATCTATGATCTCAATGGGATCAATCTGGTTAAATAAAAGTTTGAAATGAAATGAAAATAAGTAATGGGGTTTTTTTTGTACGGAAACTATAATTTACATTTTTTGACTATGATCAATCTGAATTTACTTTAAAATAAAAACATCTATATTGATTTTGACTTTTCTACATCCAACTCACAGGTGTATCATTGCTTTGAGAAAAAAGATGATTAATTTACCCCTTTTAGAAGGGAAGATATAGTCATTTGTTCTGGGAATGTCATTTTCGAGCCTGAGACCTGAAAAACAGGCTTGGGGTGGAACAGGTTAAAGTAGCGACAGTAAAAGTAGTCCATGTGCAGATTGGTCCATTTCAGAATAATATATATGATATGTTTTATAATGATTGATCATGAAAGTGTTCTCAAAGCTGGTAAAGGTGCAGCTAGTTTGAATAACTTTGTATACTGCAGGGTAGCTTGTGGATTTACTCCAGGTGGAACTAAAGTCTGATTCAACACTTGGTTATATTTCACATCATTCATCCACATCTGTGAAGTAACTAAAGGTATTAAATACATGTAGTGGAGGAAAAGTACACCATTTACCTCTGAACTGTAGAGGAGTAGAAGTACAAAGTAGCAAAACATTGAAATACTTAAGTGAAGTACAAGTACTTAAAAACTGTGCTTAAGTAAAGTATTAGACTAAATGTACTTCAGAATCAGAAACGGCTTTATTAACACGTAGACACGTGGACACGTACGAGGAATTTGACTTGGTGTCGTGGTGCATACATAAAAAAAAAAAAAAAAAAAAAAAAAACACAGATAGCGAACTATTTTAAGAACACTATAATAACTTACAAAAAAATAAGATAAAATATAGTAAAATATAAAATAATATAAAGCAGTCATTTACATTGAAATAGAATGCAATAAAATATGTGCAGTAAGCAAACCAAATATTGTCAACATTGTGTGCATAGAGTCTGCGTTGTGGCTGAGGTAAAGTGTCAGTGGGGGGGTCGGGCCTTGTTTATGAGGCCGCTAGCGGAGGGGAAGAAACTGTTCAGGTGGCGATAGGTTTTGTTCCTGATGGAGCGCAGCCTCCTGCCAGAGGGGAGGGGGGTGAACAGTTTGTGTCCTGGGTGGGAGGGGGCGGCCACTATCTTCCCTGCCCGCCTCAGGGTCCTGGAGGCATGCAGGTCGTGGAGGGATGGCAGATTGCAGCCGATCACCTTCTCTGCAGAGCGGATGACACGCTGCAGCCTGCCCTTATCCTTGGCTGTGGCTGCAGCGTACCAGATGGGGATGGAGGAGGTGAGGATTCAATTCAATTCAAGTTTATTTATATAGCCCAAAATCACAAATCCTATTTGTCTCAGAGGGCTTCACAAGTCAACAAACACAATTGGCAAGTAGGATGGACTCCATGATGGAGGTGTAGAAGTTCACCATCATTGTCTTTGGCAGGTTGAATCTCTTCAGCTGCCTCAGGAAGAACATCCTCAGCTGGGCTTTTTTGATGAGGGAGCCGATGTTCTGCTCCCATTTGAGGTCCTGGGCGATGATGGTGCCCAGGAAGCGGAAAGACTGCACAGCAGTTACTGGGGAGTCACACAGAGTGATGGGGCGGGTATTTGTTACTTTAGCCTACTGGCAGCAGGAACTGAGCCCGTACATGGCCCAGCAGCTGTAGCAGGTAACTTATGTGGCGACCCAACACAGTTCAGTTGCATTACTGTGACGCATACACATGCATATATATTACATTTTTTACCAGGCAGTGTGTTATTATTAGGCAACACAAATGTTCTGGTGGTTTGGATTTTCACAAAACAAAACGTTTTTTTGTTTAACCCCAGTGAGCAGAATGGATCAGATGCAATATTTAAAGCTGGCTGTTGGAGCTATTTATTGATTTGTATTATTTAAAGTTTTTAGGTAAATAAAGTTATGTCAATATCATACTATGTCATCATTTAGGTACATTTGAGTAGTCGTTTTTGCTTTTTGTTGTGAAGATGATTTGGTATTTATGTGATTACACACCGGAAAAGGCATATGTGTTTTTTACCAGGGAAATAGAGGATGTAAAGCCATCGGACGCAATCTTTGATTTTTCTTGGTTTAAGGACAAATATACACTCCACAGGGGTTTTCACTGGTGTCACTGATTAGGCCTCCTATGTGCAGGATGTGCTTGCAGGACCTCACTGCTCTGTGGGTTCATCAGTTGTTTCTTCTTCAGGACATTACATTCCATTGCATATCACTTAGCTGAAGCTTTTATTCATAGCGATTAGTAAATGACCATTTGTCCCCTGAGCCACAGCTGCCTGTAAGACAACCCTTTATCCTGTTACCATGGCTGTGCTCAGTTTACAGACCAACAAGGCTGCGGATCATTCATTTAGGGTTTGGTAACATGTTTAATTTCAATGGACTTGGACTGTTTCATACTTTGTAGTTCTGTTGATACTCTGTAATGTTTGATACTGTTTAGAACTGTTTGATACTGTGTAGCAGATATGGAGTACTCGATTCCTGGATTCGGACTCGAGCCGGACTTGGAGTGCCGATTTTCCGGACTCGTGACTCGACTCGGACTCGCGCACTGATTGACGCGGACTCTGACTCGGACTCGTGAATTTTTCACCCATGATGACTCGGACTCGACTTGTACATTGACGCTCCGACTTGGACTCGGATTCAAGCAAGTTTTGTCAGGAGTCAGATGTAATCTGTCCTGGCGTGTGCACCTGCGAGGCGAGTTCGCGTACTGGGCGCGCCCCAACTATTCCAGTCTAAAGATGTCCAGAGACACACCCCGCATCGTGCTGTGTGCTTTCACAGATTTCCCTTCGACATTGGGAAAGAGCAGCGCAAAATGCTCGTTATGTGGAAAAAAGATTGAAGAGAAGGCTCCATAACACATTACTCTAAGGATCGAGTTCAGACATATAGGTAAGTCATCTTGAACACTATCATCAGAGTAACGTGATCAAATCAATAAATATAGATTCAGCCGATAACACGAAAGCACATGGCTACTTAACATGCAGAATGGTAATTTTGCATGCTAAGTAGCCATGTGCTTTCTGGGGCTTAATCTTTATTGATATCATTTAAACATTCACTTGTTGACTGTTGGACATATGTGTTTGACGTTCATAAGTTATGTGATGTTTTGCCGACTGTGTTGAAATAACTTAACAAAATATTCGTTCATTCGAACCCATTTGGAATCATATCCCTTTTTCGTTAGTGTATTAATAGGTGGCTTGCTTTGTTTGTGCTTGTACATTTTATTTTTTAAGGCTCAGGATTATGGTTTTGTATTTCACTGTTATATAGCACACTGATAACAATGTTACTTTTAACATTGTTTCTCAATCCTTGAACTCAAACAATACAAAATGTATTTAAATGATTGAATTATTATGATAAACATGCCGCACCCAGTTTGCAGTGGTTGAAACTAAGGATTAGTAGTTGGGGCAGCCCTATTTTTAACTAAACAATTTATTTAGCAATAAGAAAGATTTTTGGAAATGATTTGGCATCAACAAGCTAAAGTGTTTATCCTTTCTTCCCCTAGATACCAACAATACTTTCTCTCATGTTCTAACGTTCTTAACAATGTATTTTCAGTTTCTGGGGTTTTCAAACAATTAAATATACTGAAATTAAACCAGGAATTGTGACAGTCATTGTGTTTAATGTAGACCATTTTCATTTGTAAAGCAGCTCTTTGAAGGTGCCAGAACGGAGCACTGGAGGCAATATTGGAACTCGACTCAACCTTGATGATGATAATAATAATAATAATATTTGTAATAAGCTTTATATTTGTATAGCACCGTTTATACAAGAATTGTAGCCAAACTCGCTTCACAGCAGTTCAATAGACAAATTAGTATAAAATGACAGGATAAAAGCAATGTAGAGGAGCAGCTACATTTCAACACATATATCCACTGAGATTAATACATGAAGACTTGTGAATCGGACTTGACTTGGACTCTTCTTAGGTGACTCGGACTTGGACTCGAACACAGGTAATGATGACTCAGACTCGACTCGGACACTCCTTGGGTGACTCGGACTCGACTCCGACTCTCCTTAGGGGACTCGGACTTGGACTCGGACTCGAAAAGTGGGGACTCGAGACGAGAGTGACTTAGACTCGTGAATTGGTGACTTGACTACAACACTGCTGTATAGTACTGTTTGATACTCTCTAGTACTGTTTGATACTGTGTAGTACTGTTTGATACTCTCTAGTACTGTTTGATACTGTGTAATAAAAGGGCAGTTTAAGTCTGACTACACTCCAAGCCCACAGGTCACTACAAATTAGGCACAGAATAAGATTATACACAAAAGGAAAGACCCCCCTATATGTCAAAGAGAAATGTATAATCATACTGAACAACTTTTAGGGAAAAGAAGGATCTACTTTAGACTCTGCACTATGATACTTCGTGCCACACACTCATTCACATCAGAATCAGAATACCTTCATTAGTCCCACAGAGGGGAAATGTACGTTGTTACAGCAGAAAAAGAGCCACAGACAGCTTAATGTTATATATGTTACATGCATTAAAAAGTTAACTAAGTTAAAAAAAGTTAGGATATAATAAACAATATAATAAAAATAAATAAAAAATGTAACACAATTTACAAAATACACATCCTGTAACAGTTCTTAGGATTTAGCAGCCAGGTATATATTGCACATAGTTTAACAGCAAGGGGTTTTATAGTCTGTGTGTCTGTGTGTGTGTGTGTGTCGGGGGGGGGGGGGGGGGGTCTACTAGGGGCTGTGCTGGTTGTACAGTCTGACCGCTGCAGGAAGGAAGGACCTGCGGTATCTCTCCGTGAGACAGCGGGGGTGCAGCAGCCTGTCACAGGAGGAGCTGCACAGTGAGGACCGGGTGTCCTGGAGGAGGTGGGACACATTGTCCAGCAGGGAGGACAGCGTGGCTGCCATTCTCCTCTCTCCCACCACCTCCACAGTGTCCAGAGGACTCCCCAGGACAGAGCTGGCCTTCATGATGAAATAGGTCCTGTATTAAAAACAATTTTGTTGTGTTTCTGTTTTGTGAAGGCCCAACTCTACTCCTGACCAGTGACAGCATCAAACAGCGCCTCGGTGCTGCGGCTCTGGACAGGTAGAAATGTTTTATTCTTTTACTTTTAAGTTAGTCATACAAGTCATTACTGATTAGTATTTCATTCACAGTAATACTTAATGAGAACAGACATATTTGTTTAACATATGCTATTTAATTTACTGTCTAATATTTGTTCCTCATTTTTTGAAGTGTCCATGAGTATCGTCTGTCCAGCTGGCTGGGGCAGCAGGAGGACATCCATCGCATTGTCCTCTACCAGTCTGACTTCACCCTCACGCCCTGGACCCAGCGCTGCATCCGCCAGGCTGACTGCATCATCATTGTTGGACTGGGGGAGCAGGAGCCCACTGTGGGGGAGGTCAGTTTAACTTAGTGTTTATATTGGCTCAGCCAGGTTATATGGGATGCCCAGTCTACGTACAGATGGGTCACTCATTTTGAAATATTAAACTTGGTTTTCTTTTCTTTAATTGTTCATCCTCATGTAGAATGCTATCACGAAACACACATTTGGTTGTTTATAGCATAATGAACATCTGATTTAATGTGAGGTAGGGAAATAATCATTTGAGTATAAGTATGTGTATATAAATATGTAATTTACAACAGCTGTAAAATGCTTGAAAAGCTTGAAAATGCACCTTGAAAATGCTTGAAAAGTGCTTGAATTTGACTTTGGAAAAGGTGTAAGAACCCTGAGAGAGCCTCTTTACCAAGCTCCAAACTAAGTTAAATATCTCAAAAGGTGTAAAAGATATCAAAGATTTGAATATGAATTGAATAGCTGAAGGTCCTGTGATCATTTTAAAGTTGGAATGAAGTCTCTAGCTGAAAGTTTGTGGAAGAAGAAGCATTTGGCATAAGGTGTAGGTAAAAGAGGATTTAAAGAGTTGTCCCATTGACTTCAATGTTAAAAAAATAGTTTAAAAAGCTGAATATTTCAAAAAGTATACAATATTTTTAAAAAGTTGAAGGTTTCCCATCGATTCCTGGAAAGGCTGAATAGTTTAATATTTGAATGGTTTCTGTAGCTGAAAGTAGGCTGAAGTTATGGAGAGCCAAAGTATTGGCTGAAATAAGGGGATTAAAGATTCGAAGAACTATAGTGGAATGCTGTAAACAGCATTCACACTAAATAACGAGCTGCACTATACACACTAATGTTAAAATCTGAAGGAGGCCTCTTTACCAAGCTCCAAACTAAGTTAAATATCTCAAAAAGTGTAAAATATATCAAAAATCTGAATAAGATATTAATAGCTGAATGTCTTGTGATCATTTTAAAGTTGGAATGAAGTCTCTAGCTGAAAGTATGTGGAAGGAATAGTGTAGGAGCCAAAATGCTTGTTTTGCCATTACTTATTATTTGTATTATTATCTTCATTTCTGTTTGCATCGCGTTTAATTCTTATTGTTTATCACTTCCGGCAATGGTCACGTGGGTGTGGTTTATTGTTATTTAGGTCACCTGTTGGATGCCGGTTTGGGAGGATATGATGTAGGAAGAGGGTGAATGGCGCTCTTATACTTTCTGTTGTCGGGAGTTTTACATTGTTTGTTTGCGTTTTATTAAACACTATGGACTATGAATGACTTCGGACTCTTATATGGAATGCGTCACAGCAAAGAGCACATTTTAGCCTATCAGCGGCTAACTCATAGGGAGTTTGTGCCACTATATTAGTCAACAGAAAAGGATCGCCGCATCGAAGACGCGACGGAATGGACCGGATCCTAAGCAGACGAAGCCAGGACGTTCGGGATCACGGAGTTGGAACACTGAGACAGTTTCCCCCTCGGCGAAGTGGAAAGGAAAAGCCACAATTAACCGTGGCCGCAGGCGGAAACTGATTGACTGGAGCACATCACAGCCAGTTGAGGCGTTAGGCACAATTGCGTTCATTCTGTTTATTTTTTGTTTGGAACACAGTTTGGAAGTGCTGCCATTAGTCCATTGGGGACTGTTACTTGGCCTGTTGTGTGCGTGCTGGTTATGTCGATGTCGGCGAAGGTGTGGATTTCCGGAATTGTTTGTAACGTGCACAGCTATGATCACTGATCAGGCACAACGTCTGTGACAGGATTGACATTTGTGAATACTGTTGTGTGCATATTGGAACATGCAAAATGAGTGATAACAACGAAAATGAGGATGGAGTGGACAGTGTGTTAAATATTGGAAACAGAAATAGCAAATTTACTTTTCATGGCTCAAGATCCAGAGTAGGCCTATCAAGAACTGCATCTGCTTATATAAAAGCTCAGGCGGAAGTGGCCGCCCTGATGGTTTTACAAAATCTACTTCAAAAGAAACATGCTTTGGAAAAACAGGAACATGAGCTGAGGAGAAGAAAAGAACAACTGGACCTAGAAGGAGACATCTCCGCCACCATGGCCAAAATGAAGGTTATTGCTGCATCTAAGAAATCCAGTGTTCCAAGTAACTCTACTAAAGGATCTGATGGCAAGCAGTCATATTTTGGAAACAGACTTACAGTAAGGAAAAGAAAACACTTAATATCAACACAGATCCTTTTGTACCCCAGCCACAAGTTATATACATCTGCACCAATCATTCCAGAGCACAGTGTAGCTAATCTAAAAACATCAACAATAACAACCAAAGACAGAGCTGACACTGAAATCATCACATCTACCATAACACCCGAGTCACAACGTCATCCGGCAGAAAGCACATTTGCAACCATGAAAGCTGGAAAAATAAAATACGACATAGAAACGAAGATGGACAGAAAAGAACCAGCCATGGCCTCTTTGCATACAAGTGGCCTTACTGGGGCCGGTGAACAGGAATGCAAACTCTCAGAGTCAGTGATGGGTGCTAGCAGGACATCTGTAATGAAAGTGGATATGCTGTGGAAACATCAATTTAAGATGCACTATCCTGAAGGTGGCAGAGACATCCAGAGACTTTCCATGGGAAATCAGCGGTTCCGGGCTCCAGTCTTAAAATCTGCCAAACTATTGGAAGGACCAATCGCATTAGATTGGAAAAGGACAAGGAAAAAATGACTTGTACTTGGGATTCAGATGAAGACAAATAGTGGCTTTCTGAACATACCCGGCCCTCAGCCAAGTATGCCTTTTTCATGAGGCAGAGAAACTTTTGCCAAGTCTAATTTTCCATTTTTCACCTTGCTCCCTGCATACAGTGACTATTTTTGCCCCCTGCATTCACAATACTACACACAGCATACTTGATTGCTTGTATACTGATATATGAATACTGGATTTAAAAAATGATGATCTGCATATCATTAGAATATACAGTGTTTTATTGTAATTTGTTTTGAATAATTATTATAAATTGTTATATAATAATTAGGGGCCGGAATGTAGGAGCCAAAATGCTTGTTTTGCCATTACTTATTATTTGTATTATTATCTTCATTTCTGTTTGCATCGCGTTTAATTCTTATTGTTTATCACTTCCGGCAATGGTCACGTGGGTGTGGTTTATTGGTATTTAGGTCACCTGTTGGATGCCGGTTTGGGAGGATATGATGTAGGAAGAGGGTGAATGGTGCAGCCTTCTGTTGACCGTCAGCTCGGGAGTTTTACATTGTTTGTTTGCGTTTTATTAAACACTATGGACCATGAATGACTTCGGACTCTTATATGGAACGCGTCACAGCAAAGAGCACATTTTAGCCTATCAGCGGCTAACTCATAGGGAGTTTGTGCCGCTACAAGTAGCATTTGGTGCAAGGTGTAGGTAAAAGAGGATTTGAAGGTTCCTCCCATTGAGTTCAATGTTATAAAAAGAGTTTAAAAAGCTGAATATTTCAAAAAGTATAAAATATTTTGAAAAAGTTGAAAGTTTCCCATCTTGTACTGAAAAGGCTGAACATTTTGATATTTGAATGGTTTCTGTAGCTGAAAGTAGGCTGAAGTTATTCGACAGCAAAATATTGATTGAAATAACGAGCTGCACTATACACACTAATGTTAAAATCTGAAGGAGGCCTCTTTACCAGGATTTGTAGGTTCCTCCCGTTGAATTCCATTAGTGCGAATGCTGTAACAGCATTCACACTAATTGCACAGCATTCACACTAATAAAGATTTGAAGAACTATAGTGGAATGCTATAAACAGCATTCGCACTAATAAGCTGCTGCTGTCCACACCCCTCTGAGAGATGATTGGTTTAAAAAAACACAATGGGGCTCTAGGAGGAGATTATAGGTGATAAAGTTTTATATTGGACACCCCAATACTTTACAATGCCTGACAGTGACCAATCAAACCTGATTCAAATCCTTACAGTTTTTAAGGAAGTCTGAAGTGCAGATTGTGGGAGAAACTTCTGTGGGAGTCACCGACTCAGGAAGGAGACACAGGGAGAGCTGGAGCTTTGATGTCAAACACTGATCTGAGCTTTAGCCAGAGAATTCACAAAACAAGTCCAAGAGCCAGAGGTTCTGACTTCACGGTAGAGTTGCCACGTCAATTCTGAATAACTCTACCCCAGACCCATGTATTTAGCTAGTTCAGAGAGAATAATCAACATTGTGCATAACAAGATAGAATGATAACACCTCTATCAGCTGACACCAACAGGCAGGAACAAGGAGATAAAGCACTGAGAGCACAGCAGCCAAGTTTACAGGTGCGTGTGCTCAGTCAGGACAGTATGAACTGATAAACTGGGTCAAAGTTATGGGCTTTGGAAAATATTTCCCCAACAGCAGATAAGTTAAAGTGGACCTATCATGCTATATTTGAAACATATATTGTAGGGCCATACCTATATAAAACATGTTTGTGAATTTTTTTTTTCAAAATACCAAACAGATCATGCATTTTAGCCATGCCTCATTTCGCTCTATTTGCTCTTTTCCAGCCCTGTTTTTGCAAGGGCTGATTCTGCTTTTGTGGCAGACTACAGCGCCACTTACAGGCCTGGCATATGTACTACAGCGTCTCCAGCACTTTCGAGCGGTCTCTCATTCCCCTGATAGGTGGAGAGTTGCCCATATAGGCGGAGCACCCCTTTTCTGACGTCAGAAACATTCAAATAATAATCAGACACACCGGGGACACATATTCATGTATAAAAGACGTACAAAAGTGCATTTTGCATGATAGGTCCCCTTTAAATCAGAGGATGTATTACACAGAAAATATGTAATCAAATGAATAAGCCAATGCTATAATTAAAAAACAGAAACTTTCTGTGACATTAAACATCCAACATCAAGACTCTGACAACAACTGAAAGAGAAACCAGAACTTGAATGCACACAAGACTAATCTCAAGAACAAGACACAGGTGGGGAGGGAATAGAAACACAGGGGCCCCAGGTGAACACAATCAGGTAATGAAACAGGAGGGGGGGAGTTATGAAGGTAAGGAGAGATATAAGTATTGTGGGAAAAACACATGCTCGCATTACAATGTTTAGGAGAATTCAGAGGAAAATATGAGAGAATCCTCCACATTAAAACTACTTTTTAATCACCTTAGAGATGACAATTTTGTCAAAAGTGACTTTAGGTAATATCTGATACTATGTAGGCTATTGGACCAAGCTACAATTTACGGTAGCTACATTACGGCTGTGTCTGTAATTTGTTTAACATTTTAGCCTATGAAGACGGGTCACTTCCATGGCCACACCATGTTTTTGAGCCTGGGACTTCAGATTGTCATTGCCATAACTACACTGTATCTGTGCATATGACAATTAAGCTTTTGAACCTTTGAACCTTGATCCTTCACTGTATGAAGCACCGCCCTGATCTGAGTGCAGGCTGTCAGCTTCTTCCTCCTCTTCTCCACCTGTAGTTGGAGAGAATGCTGGAGGGCAGTGCAGTCCGAGCTCAGAAGCAGTTGGTGTTGTTGCACAGGGAGGATGGCCCCCCACCCAAAGGGACGGCCGAGTGGTTGAACATGCGCAGCTGGATCTCCAGACACCATCACCTGTCCTGTCCCCGCAGAGTGTTCTCCCGGAGGAGTCTACCTAAGCTGGTAAAGATCCCCAACCTAAGTCTTTTAATGGCTGGTCTGGCCCAGCATATCATTCATATTTATCTACATTCTCATATCATTTTATAATATACTGTAATACACTATAGTTTGCCATACATTGTCGTATATTCATTTTCCTACGTTTTTTAGGTCTTTTGTATGTGTCAGGGGTGTCCAAACCTTTTTCAAAGTACGCCAGATTTGATAATGTGAATATGCCTGGGGGCCAATAGTCCTGTCTGCCATTTTTTAAACATTACTGTAACATAAAATACACTGTTATATCACCATTTTCAATTATCTTTATTTTTCAAATGGCAATATAACTAAATATAAGACACTAAGGCAGGTGTGAACAACTTTAAAATAAAGTGGGGTGCCAGTCAGAATCAGAACAGAAATTGTTCAGTGAATCCATACACAAATTAATTGATTCTGGAAATATTATGCAATACAAATTAAATCACACATCAATTTCCACTTTCGTCAGTTTTATTTCATGGCGAAAAACAAGATATTCACTGTTACATGTCTGATATGTGTAATATGTAATGTAAAGCACTAAAAGCATTTGGAAAAGCTCTCGAGCCGGTTTCTCAAACTTACCTACCCCACCTTTAAAGGTTCATGAAAAAAAAAAGTATCTTGTGCGCACGATATACTTTCTCGTGTGCACGATATACTTTCTCGTGCGCACGAGACACATCGAACTGCCCGATTATTACGCCATATTATTAGTTTTATGAAGAAGATGTCCGGTCGCCGAAATGTCCCTAAAATGAAGTCCGAGTTTGAAATATATCTCAAATAATGTATGCACTGCCATTTCCCCACATAAACATAACAGTCTGCGATGAAACGGTTGTCTCCTGTACGCTCCACTTCCTACTTGGCGCACCAGTAACTTTCTCGTGCGAACGAGAAAGTATCTTGTGCGCATGAAAAAGTATATTGTGCGTACGGATCCATCCAAAACCAAAAACCAGCGTCTTTTACAGAAAAGGCTAATTGCGGCATGAGAACGGCCCCTGGTGCTGCCGCCATGCGGTGAAAGGAGGAATTACATTAAGGCCCCGTCCACACGGAGACGATATCAGTTGAATCCACGTTCTCTATCGTATAGACGAGGCCGAAACGGAAACGCGGATTCCGAATTTGATACACTTTGTTAACGACTCCCAAAGTGGGTAGGTCTGAGGACGAAGCGCTTGCGGCTCCGTGTGTACGCCCTATACGATCATTTCCTGAAAATTGCCTCTCCCCACCTCTCCTGCTCACCCCCACGCCACACGCGTCATTGCTGATGTGTTTCGCCAACAACAATGGCGGATCACAGGGTTGCGTTCATGCTCAAGACGCTACTGACCATGATACAGATTTTAGTGCAAAATCTACAGCTCCTCTACCACAACCATCAGCAACAATAATAATATAATATAATAATAATAATAATAATAATCGTCATCAGTCTTATTCGCTGCTTTTGGTGTATTTTGTGGCGGAAGTACAGCGCCACTTACAGGCCCGGCATATGTACTACAGCGTCTCCAGCGTTTTCGAGCGGTCTCGCGTGGACAGACACGTTTCTTGAGCCGTTTTCGTGTGGACGGAAGACTTATTTGAAAACGACTAACCCCTAGATTCTACCGGGTCCGTCTGCGCCGCGTTACGGCCGTGTTACGGCCGCGTTACGGCCGCGTTACGGCCGCGTAACTAGTCTAGTCAATGGGTGCTATTCAACCAGTGTTACGACTAGAAGTGTCCCAGAAGCGTCTCGGCGCTGGGCTCCGCTAAAAATAGGCGGCTGGTCTATTTTCTACGGGACGCGAGGCGTTGCATAGCGCCGGGCAGGAAGTGGACCGGTCAGAGCATCCAGTCAATCCCCAAAATAAACACATTTTGCAGACCCTATCCCTCCGTAGTCTTTCAAGAGAGAGAAATGCCAGCGTTCTCCTCCAGTTTACAGGCACTGTGTAAATTATATATATAGAATAATTATGATGATGAATGCATTTTTTTACCACTAAAATACAGCAACACATCTTTGATTCATGTCGTTTATAACTGGAATATTACAATTATTATTAACTTTGTCTGTACAAAGTAGCCTGTCCAGGAAATATGCCCAAATCAACAAAAACTGCGAGCCGGCACGCAAGACTCTCCGCTTCTGAAACGCGCCCGGTAGGGTTTGACGCTGTAAGAGGTCGGAACAAAACCACGGCGCAGCCGTGACACGGCACAGACGGACCCGGTGGAATCCCGGGGTTAGGCTCTTTTTCGTTTTCGTCTCCATTTCGTCTCCGTGTGGACAGGGCCTAAACAAATGTATTCTGTTTGACAGTGCTAGCGCAGTGGTTCTCAAACTTTTTTCAATAATGTACCCCCTTTGAAAAAGAAATTCAGCCAAGTACCCCCTGATCAGCGCAAACACAATTTGTGAAGGAAAAAATGCTTTTAAAGAGGTACAGTAGCCTACAGTGCTGCACCATCAGTGTCTGATTTATTAAAACAACAACATTGTAACTGAGAAAAAACTACATTTAAAATGTTTATAATCCATCACTAAATTCATGGCAAACCAATTTTAACATCATGCAATAACACTGAGACGACATTAGTTGCATTGAACTGATCTTTTTAATAAGTTGTACTTACAATATAGTGAGAACCATGGGCTTGTGCTTCACTGAGGATCTTTGTCATTCTGACAGGGAGGCACCTGCAGTTCTTAAACTTATGTTTTGAAATATGTGTAACTCTGTTAATTATAAAACCCACACTGCTCAAACTTCGTTACTTTTCCTAAAATTGGTATATCTATTTATTTTGGGGCGTGGGGAATGAAGAGAAAAAATATATGAGCATTTTATGAGCATGGGATTTTGACCCCTTCTATAAACATATGCATAATGCTGCGCTATACTTTGCGACCACACGCCGTTGCCAAGCAACGCTTATTGTTTAGGTGTCCTTTGATAAGCAGGCAGTCATATAATTAACTAGAACTAGCTAGATCTGATAGATTTGGACATAAACGCGAGTGAAGTATAACCGGACGCGAGAGAGAGATCAGCTGCTGCTGACGGAGAACACGCAGCTCTACATGATCACAGCTCCGCCGCTGTGACGGACCGTTGAGTGGAGCAAAATTAAATACACTAAGAGTTAGACCTAACACACTTAGATAGTTTATCTACTCTGGAACTAGCTAAACTAGTTATAAATATATTTATTCTTTACTGTCGGGTCACTTATTACAGGTTCAGCGAGCTGCACGAGACTGACGGGCTGTCAGGAGAGAGAGGAAAAGAGAGCACCCCGTTTTTTTTCCCATTTTATTGTCCAGAATTACTGTAAACCTTTGAATAAAGTAGTTAATCTACTATTAGTAGTTTAAATGCATTACTTGTGTTTTTTTCTTTCTCATTAACATAAAATAAATCTCACGTACCCCCTGCAGTACTGCAACGTACCCCCATTTGAGAACCACTGTGCTAGCGGGCCATAAATAATATATTATAAGACCGGAGCTGCGGGCCGTATTAAATCTGACGGCCCGCTGGCCAATCTTTGGACATTCCTGGTATATGTAAATTTCAATTTGGTGTAAATACTTATCCTTAATCTTTTGTATTGCTGTGTGTGTGTGTGTGTGTGGTGTGTGTGTGTGTGTGTGTGTGTGTGTGTGTGTGTGTGTGTGTGTGTGTGTGTGTGTGTGTGTGTGTGTGTGTGTGTGTGTGTGTGTGTGTGTGTGTGTGTGTGTGTGTGTGTGTGTGTGTGTGTGTGTGTGTGTGTGTGTGTGTGTGTGTGTGTGTGTGTGTGTGCGCAGAGAGAGTTGTACCAGCGTGTGTTTGAAAAAGGTCCGGATCGTCATTCCGACTTCTCTCGCCTGGCCAGGGTTCTGACAGGAAACAGCATCGCCCTGGTGCTGGGTGGAGGGGGCGCCAGGTACTTTATATACACTTTATAAACAAACACATTCAGTACATCAGCAAGACTCAATGAGACATTGTTTACCCTGCAATCAAATCTGACACAAGTTCCACACATTAGTTATGTTTTTTCCACGAAAGGTATAATATCAAACATCTGCATTGAAATATCATATATTAGTTTCAGATCTTTGTAATTTGAGATTTTAGAACCTGTTCTTTTTTTACGATACCTGGCAAGCAGTGTACGAGTTTTTTTTAATCATATAAACTTAACACAAAAAGTAAGGACATTTGTGTTTGGTAGATTATTTCGGCAATACATCTTATACTGTATACATACAATACTGTTGGAAAGCCTGTTTCCTTACCTTTCAAATGGTGCCACATTTGCAAGGAACATGCATTTGTGGGATCAGCAGCAGAGCTGAATATGTGGGTTGCGCCCATGAAAATGTGACAAATCTCCTCTGCCAATGCCAAACAGCTTTTTTTGCTGCTTGTTTGGTGTTGTTTGGTGGATTGGATGATTGAAGTCGGAGGAAACAAGACATATTGGCAACAATTTATTTGTTAACAATGTATTATTTTAACAAGCAGCCTCAGTAGCGTGTGGAAGAACCAAACACAGCCAAAACAGCCTCTCCCCCTCATGCTGTCACCAGCCTGCTCACACTCTGCTGTGGGATGTGTTGGTCACTCTTACCTCATTCACACCAACGGTGTTTCAGGGCCGGTTCGGAGCTGGAGCTTGAAAAGCACCGGGTTTTCCTGTTCACACCGCAGCGGAGCAGCCTCTTAGCTCCGGAATCCGGTTTGTTTCAAGCACCAACAAATTGTCCGGCTAGAGCAAAAGCACCGCGAGGCGGGGGCAGGGGTAATCGGAATCGTCGTTGAAGTTGATGATTACGATTGTAAAGCAGTTTTGAATATAGCATGTAACGACTGTAAAGTTGGTAGTAAAGCCGTCCCATTTCTTCCATTTAGTTTCGACAGAGCAAAACCAAAACGAGTAGCGCTTCAACACAATCGGCCATTGTTGTTGTTGTCGATGTGAGCTGTGAGGGTTTCCGCGCGGTTTGGCTTTATGAAGCAGGCACGCAAACGGTTACGTCATGACGCAAACGATGACGCAATGACGCAGCATCAGTCGGACTCTGAGCGGTGTGAAAAGAGCCGGAGCTAAACCGAAGAACCGGTTCTGAACCTGAAAAGCTCTAGCATGGAGCATGAACCGGAGTTGCGTTGTTGTGAATGAGGTATCTGACAGCAAGCTGATCCCACAAGAGTGCAGTCCTGACCCCAATCGGGGTCAGGACTGCAGGCCATTCCATCCTCTCCACTCCCAATCTAACGGTGCAGCAATCAGCAAAGCGTTTTCCACGTCTTCTCCACACTGTGAACATAATGTTGCTCCACATGGTGAGGTTCCAGTGCTCTGAACATAATGTTCCTCCACATGTTGAAGTTCCAGTGCTCTGAACATAATGTTCCTCCACATGGTGAGGTTCCAGTGCTCTGAACATAATGTTCCTCCACATGTTGATGTTCCAGTGCTCTGAACATAATGTTCCTCCACATGTTGAGGTTCCAGTGCTCTGAACATAATGTTCCTCCACATGTTGAGGTTCCAGTGCTCTGAATATAATGTTCCTCCACATGTTGAGGTTCCAGTGCTCTGAACATAATGTTCCTCCACATGGTGAGGTTCCAGTGCTCTGAACATAATGTTCCTCCACATGGTGAGGTTCCAGTGCTCTGAACATAATGTTCCTCCACATGTTGAGGTTCCAGTGCTCTGAACATAATATTCCTCCACATGTTGAGGTTCCAGTGTTCTGAACATAATGTTCCTCCACATGTTGAAGTTCCAGTGCTCTGAACATAATGTTCCTCCACATGTTGAGGTTTCAGTGCTCTGAACATAATGTTCCTCCACATGGTGAGGTTCCAGTGCTCTGAACATAATGTTCCTCCACATGTTGATGTTCCAGTGCTCTGAACATAATGTTCCTCCACATGGTGAGGTTCCAGTGCTCTGAACATAATGTTCCTCCACATGGTGAGGTTCCAGTGCTCTGAACATAATGTTCCTCCACATGTTGATGTTCCAGTGCTCTGAACATAATGTTCCTCCACATGTTGAGGTTCCAGTGCTCTGAACATAATGTTCCTCCACATGTTAAGGTTCCAGTGCTCTGAACATAATGTTCCTCCACATGTTGAGGTTCCAGTGCTCTGAACATAATGTTCCTCCACATGTTGAGGTTCCAGTGCTCTGAACATAATGTTCCTCCACATGTTGATGTTCCAGTGCTCTGAACATAATGTTCCTCCACATGTTGAGGTTCCAGTGTTCTGAACATAATGTTCCTCCACATGTTGAGGTTCCAGTGCTCTGAACATAACGTTCCTCCACATGGTAAGGTTCCAGTGCTCTGAACATAATGTTCCTCCACATGTTGATGTTCCAGTGCTCTGAACATAATGTTCCTCCACATGTTGAGGTTCCAGTGCTCTGAACATAATCTTCCTCCACATGTTGAGGTTCCAGTGCTCTGAACATAATGTTCCTCCACATGTTGATGTTCCAGTGCTCTGAACATAATGTTCCTCCACATGGTGAGGTTCCAGTGCTCTGAACATAATGTTCCTCCACATGTTGAGGTTCCAGTGCTCTGAACATAATGTTCCTCCACATGTTGAGGTTCCAGTGCTCTGAACATAATGTTCCTCCACATGTTGAGGTTCCAGTGCTCTGAACATAACGTTCCTCCACATGTTGAGGTTCCAGTACTCTGAACATGTTCCTCCACATGTTGATGTTCCAGTGCTCTGAACATAATGTTCCTCCACATGTTGAGCTTCCAGTGCTGTGAACATAATGTTCCTCCACATGTTGATGTTCCAGTGCTCTAAAAATAATGTTGCTCCACATGTTGAGGTTCCAGTGCTCTGAACATAATGTTCCTCCACATGGTGAGGTTCCAGTGCTCTGAACATAATGTTCCTCCACATGTTGATGTTCCAGTGTAAGTGGGCCTGACGGTGAAGGGCAGTCATGGCAGGCTCCTGGCAGCTGCTGTTCGGAGGAGATTTGTCACATTTTGAGATTTGTCACATTTTTCATGGGCGCACCCCACATACCTAGCTCTGCTGCTCATCCCACAAATACTTGTTCCTCACAAATGTGATACCATTGGAAAGGTAAGAAAACAGGCTTTCCAACGGTATAAGATGTATTGCCAAGAAGCATTGTTTTAACTTAAAAATAATCTACCAAACACACATTTCCTTTCTTTTTGTGTTCGACATCAGGGGCAGATATACAAAGTCATAATAATAATAAAAAATTACATAAAATGAAAATACAGTTTCATATTTCCGATAAAATATTCCATGATGGGTATATGGAAGTATATGTGCAGGCTTCAGGTTTATGGAAGTGAACCAGTCGTCCTGGTGAACACATTCCAACACCTGTTTGATCGTCAGCATTCTGGGACAGAGGAATGCCGCAAGCTCTGTAGTTTATAAACCAATAGGTTAAAAACAGCAGGCTTCTTTAGCGAATGACCCACCTCTGGAGTGTCCCCCTGTTGGAAGAGACCCAGGGGGATCACCACATGACCAGCTGACGCCAACGCTGAGCAGCTGCGTCACGGAGAGGGCTGTGCGGGTTGTGACACGCCAGAGGAGAGCTGTCAGTTCCTCCACTCTCTGCCGCGAGAGCCGCGCTATGCTGGCTGAGTTTAATTCCACTCCAGATAAACGATTGTCTGAGAGGGAAGAGGACAGCTCTTCTTCCAATTCATTATGAAACCCAGGCTTTGACAGATGCGATACGAATGTAACGTCTGTAAAGCAACTTCCTCCCTGGAGCGAGCCAGCAATAGCAGGTCGTCCAGATAAAACACACTCTCATCCCTCCTCTGTGTAGTGGCCTTATACACAATTTGAAAAAATGCGAGGTGCCAGGAAATATCCGAACCGCAGACGATTGTCTGGTCTGATATTCCCTGAAATGAGAAAACGCAGGAATTTCCTGTGTTTCGGGATGATGGGTACGTTGAAGTATGCATCCTTCAGGTGGAAGTGAACCAGTCGTCCTGGTGAACACATTCCAGCACCTGTTTGATCGTCAGCATGTGGAATACTGACAGATCGAGGATGTCTCATTGCCCCAGTCTTTTTCGGGATTAGGAAAATAACGGGAGTAAAAAAACCCTGATATTCCTCCCTTTGAGGAACCCTGGAAATATCCTCTTTCAACAGGAGTTCCTGCAGCTCGGATTGGAGCGCAAGACTGTTCCTGGGATGACAGGAGTGTTTCCTGTATCCCATTGAACTGTGGGGGGGAGAGGCTAACTGCAGGGTGTACCCTCTGCTGATCAGCCTGCTCATCCATCTGTCCATCAGACCCACGCGCTGCCACTCTGAGAAACACTCTGAGGGCGGGCGCACATGCTCGAGATGTTCTGTGGTCGTCATGGCGACGAGCCACGCCAGGGAGCCTCCACACGCTGCGTTTCACTCCGGCTCTCATCATGAGGCGTGTACACGCTCAGGGGATGAGTGGAGGTGTGTGCAGTGCTGTCCACATGAGGCGTTATAACGGCGCTCATGGGTTTATTATGACCGTGTGTAGGAGGCGTATCTCGGACAGAGGAATGCCGCGAGCTCTGCAGTTTATTAACCGATAGGTTAAAACCGGCAGGCTCCTGCAGCGAGCCCTGCTGGCTAGTAACTGATAGGTTATAGGCAGCTGGCTTACACAGGGGGGATATGTGAGAAACACTTGTTACTGATGACTCAGACAAAAGTTGGAAAATGAACACATTTTATTTTACTCATAACCCCCCAAAATTTCAGAACCGGCTCTGCTTCCTCAGAGGCTCTTGTGGAGCAGACCAGGAGCGGGGGAGCCTCACTCCCCTTTGACTCGCCACCGGGAGACCCTGTCTCTGGGGTGGCGGGGGAGCGGAGACGTGGGACGGAGCCCCTGCAGCCGCCGAAGGGCGAGCCTGACGCCGAGGCGGTTGCTGTGGGCGTCTCTCCGCTTGCGGCCTCTGCTACCACTGTGGCCGGTGTGGACGCCGCGGCTGCTGCGGGCGTTGGTGCCGCTGTAGGCGCTCAGCAGGCTGGAGCCAGCTGACATGCTGGAGCCAGCTGACATGCTGGAGAATGTCGTCCGCCTGTTCCGCGGCCGTCTTCATGGACTCCACCATGGCGTGGAACTGGGGTCCGATTGGAGCGTCCAGTAGCACTTTTCTGGCTGTCTCCGTAACAGACGCCTGCTGCAGCCAGAGGTGGCGCTGGATCTGTGATCTGGATGTTATTCGCCGCCGCCGCCGCCTAAAAGGCACACTGGTGCACCCGGTCGGTCTGGCGGGCGACATACTGGTCTCTGGGGGAGCTCAACGTAGGGCGCCGTCCAGCGATTATGTTGGCCTGTCTTACCCCAAAAAACGCCGTCAGGCTCGTCTCCAGAGAAGGGGTGGCTGGGAAACCAGCATTTGTGAACCCCTCCACCTTGGTGAGGGGAACAAATGTGGCCACCGGAGCCTTCAGGGTCCTCGGGTTTGCCGCCACCCCCTCCTGGAACCTCCTGATGGCCGGGAAGCGTGGCCAGATCGGGTCACTCCTGACCGTCTGCACCCGCGAAAAACTCTGGTCATGTCGTCCGGAGCACACCTCTCCTGAGCTAGGGGAACGGGGAGATCTCTGCAGGCGGCCGCCTTGCGTATGATCTCTGGCAGTTCCCCTAGGATGCCACCTATCGCTGGTAGCGCTGTGGTGACGGAGAAGGGGAAAGCATGTTCGGCCGCCAAGCTGGCACCCTGCTCCGTCCGGTGGAGAGGAGGGAGGGGAGAACCGAACGGTGAACCGTGGAGGGAGGCGGGGTAGGAGTCGTCCGACTCTTGCCCGGCAGTCGGCCCCAGGGACACGAGGCTCCCGTCCGCGGGCTCGTAAGCCTGGACGGGCCAATCGTCCTCCTCGGCCGCAGCAGCGAGAGCATCCGCTCTCCGCTTCCTGTCGCCCGAGGGGAGACGGGCACAGTGTGTGCATGCGACCTGCTGGTTTAGAGCCTCGTACGCGTGCTCTGACCCCAGGCAGGATTCGCATACTGTGTGCTGGTCATAATTCATTATGAACCCAGAGCCACATGAGGGACAATCTCTCACACAATTGTTACTCATGTTTACTCTGCAATTGAAGTGTCTCTTGTGCTTCAGTAACGAGGTGCTGAAGAAAAGAGGGAGCAGATTGTCGGGCCTCCTTCCTATTTATACCGGAAGGGAGCCCGAGGGTGGGGCCCACCTTGCGGGTGGGCGTGGACTACAAGTGTTTCAGTGCTGCGCGGGTGCGCAGGGGGATTACCCAATAGCGATAGCCTTAGAGGGCGAAGCCATATACGAAATAGAACCTCTTTTTCTTTCGTCTGAGGAAATGTGCTCCCCCCCTAACAAATATCAGCCTGGGCCTTTCTGAATGATAGCAAACCCTCTGCTAGTTGTCCCACAGGCCTTTTTGTTAACATTCCCACAAGATACTACCATTTCTTTCAGATACATCTGCACATGTTTCTTTACAGGTTCTAGTATCTTGCAATGGTAAACACTTAAGAAACCGTTTTTGGCTGTCCAGATTCTCTGAACACTATAATAATTATAGTAATACTAGTGCTGGGCAACGATTAAAATGTTCAATAATGAATTCAAAAGTAGTGTATTGCGTACTTTTATTTGATTAGTACTGTGAAATGAACAAAAGTGCAATAACATTTGGTTTGCAAACACTTCAAACAAATAAGGTGCTTTTTAACAGCAGTATTCCCTTTACACAGTAGAAGTTAAAATATTTATTGTAAATCTCCACTTCAACATTAACTAGAAAATGCATTTCCTGCTGAAAATGCGTGTGAATGCTGTATGCTGCGAAAATGTGTTGCTGAACTTGGCTGAAAATGCAGAAAAATCGGAATATTTTAATAGTTGAATGGTCTCTGTAGCTGCTTTTAGCTACAGAAACCAAGTAAGTGTGTTCCTGAACTTAGTGGGAAAATACAGAAAAGTGAAAAGATTGTAATCAAAATGGTTACAGCTAAAATGCATTGCACTGACATGGTGAATGATATGCTGGAGTAGGAATACTAGTAATTAAGCTTAATATTTAAAAGAAAAGTTAAAAAAGGTATAAACAACAACCTGTATAGCCTCAATATCCTGAAATAGCTGAATAATGTAATAGTTGGTTTCTGTAGCTGAAAGTAGGCTGAGTAGTACTAGTAGTAGTAGTTGTTGTTGTTGTTGTTGTTGTTGTTGTATAGTTGCGATAATAACTGCAGTGTTGGCCTTTTGGACGTAACTGGGGGGGGTAACAATCAGGTTACATTACACTTGTGTGCGTGTATCAGAATCTTCAGCAGTATGTGATATCCCAGATACCCTGTGATGTCATGAGGCCTGTCTCTCTGCAGGGGCTGCTCTCAGGTGGGGATCCTGCGGGCTCTGAATGAGGCGGGGATCCCTGTGGACATGGTGGGGGGCACCTCCATCGGCTCCTTAATGGGAGCACTGTACGCTGAGGAGAAGAGCAACAGCCGCATGAGGGTCCGGGCTCGGGAGTGGGCCATGGTGTGTGGACGAAGATACAAATGCACTTTTAATTAAATGGAATGTTACTTAGATATAGATTTTTGTTATAAAATGTTTTTATTTTCATCCAGAGCTTGGTCTATTTATTATGACCCCAGCTCTGATATTTACGAAGTATTCTTGACACTAGTTTAACGTTTGTTATTACTATTTTTAAGACATCATTCTTTCAGAGGAAAGCTGAGTCTAATAGTTTACTACACTTTTTCTTCACTTCCCTTAATAACTTCCTCTGTTTCTCAGGATATGAACTCCTTCTTTAAGAAGATTTGGGATCTGACATACCCTGTTACATCCATGTTTTCTGGAGCGTCCTTTAACTCCAGCATCAGCTCCGTCTTCAAGGGCAAACAGATAGAGGTACGGTGATGGTTTTCTTTTAAAGTATTTAAAATGACGTAAGCAGTCGGGCCAATAGGATATATAGACTAAGCCAAATTTAAGAGATCATTGGTATTGTTCCAAATCCCTTGAGCTACTTTTACTTTTACATTACATTACATTACATTGCATTTAGCTGACGCTTTTATCCAAAGCGACTTACAATAAGTACATTCCACCAGGAAGACACAACCTTGAAGAAAACAGAATCATATAAGTACATCAGGTTTCATAGAGCCAAACATTTCAAGTGCTACTCAACTGGCTTTAGATAAGCCAGTCCTTTATTAGTATAAAAGTGCTTCGTTAATAGTTCTAACGCTCGAAGTGGAGTCGAAAGAGATGAGTTTTCAGTTTGCGCCGGAAGATGTGCAAGCTATCTGCCGTCCTGATGTCAACTTTTACTTTTTGCTATGAGGATTATTTCGTTTTTTATTTAACATTATGCATATGGTATAATTGTGACAAAGCAACATTAATAACTCATGAGAGCAGATACTTTATGACATATAATTGTGTCTGTTTTACCACCTTTCCTCTGCCAGGACCTGTGGCTGCCCTACTTCAACATCACCACTGACATCACAGCGTCCTGCATGAGGGTGCACACTGACGGTCTGAGCGCCTTCTGGCTCTTTTTCATCTAAATCTTCTGATACATTCATTTAAAAAACCAGCTTCTTAATTTAGAAAATTGCAAAGTTAGGGGTGAAATGTTATGAAGTATATTTACTTTACCTGAGTATTTTAATGTTACACTACTTCTACTGCAGTACATTTTGAAGCCAATGTTGCACTTTTTACTTCACTAATAGTAACTAGTAGCTAGTTACTTTACAGATTTAGATGATCAGCTACAGTAATACAAAATATAAATAAACTAATAAACAAACATTGACATTTAATTATAGGTTAAGATATCAAGCAGCAAATTACAAAAAAACTATAGTAGCTCCACATTTCATAACAATAATAATCAAGTAATCTATTAACATGTGATTCTGAAGTGGACAATTACCCTTAATAAGTACTTTTACTTTTGGTACTTTAGCATATTTTTATGCCAATATTTTTGTAATTTACTAAAGTAAGATGTAGAATGCAGGATCTAAGCTTGTAACCCTAACCCTTTCAAATTACCACTTTTAGAAGAGCAAGCAATAACTCTGAGTAATTCTTCCACCACTGTACCAAATGTGAATATATTTCATTTATGGAATCCCCCCTAAAAACATGTTTTTACTCCACTTAAAGGGTGGAAAAACAGGTCTAGCAAAACAGAGTACTAATGAAAAAAAACATCCCTATGATGCTTTATTTCTTGGATATCTGATGTAAAGTATGTTTTAAAACTGCTTACAGTCAGCTATCTATTTCTACTATTGTCTTTTTTTCTATTATTCAACATGTTGATGTCCTGTCTCTGTCTTCAGGTTCTCTGTGGCGATACGTCCGGGCTAGTATGTCCCTGTCTGGTTACCTGCCGCCGCTCTGTGACCCCAAAGATGGACACTTACTCATGGACGGAGGGTACATCAACAACCTGCCTGGTGAGGGACATTGGGAGGGGGGGGTTTCACTGCTTGTATTGCTTCACATAAGTGGGAAAGGTTGTATTCAGTGTATAGCAAGGTATTGGAACATCTACTTTTTAAAGGAATTCAAGCTTTGTTAGAAATATAGTACACCATTATAGACTGGGCAGTATAGATCTGTTTTGGGGGGACTTATTCCTATAACTCAGTGGTTCTCAAACCTTTTCTGTCAGGCCCCCCCTTTGGAGAAAAAAAAAGTCGGGACCCCCCAACAGAAATAGTAACGTTTATTAAAATACATCAATATGAACGTGAGCATTCCTTTCAAAAAAATCACTTTGCTAGAACAGTGATAATAGAACAATGCTCCATAATTATGTGTGGTAAAATAAAAAAAACATAATACAATTGTGCAATCCTTTTGCTAGAACAATAAGTTATAATACTTTGCCACTTTGCAATCTGTGCAAAAAAATGAAAAGAAAGAAAATGCTGGTATTTGGCAAAGTGTGTCTTCTTATCACAGCGTTAGTGGCTGCAATGAGCCTGTTTTGCACTGCACATTTAAAATGGGGTTGCAGGCTCAGTGGCGGCGCCAGAGATTTTCTTTTGGGGGTGCACTAAATGTTTGAGCACCCTCTAAAAAAGTGATAAAAACCTAGAGGACATTATTCAACTTTTGAAATCCTCCTCCTGCTGCCTTGATATTATTCCAACAGGATTTTTCAAAGACGTTTTGCCTTGCATGGCCTCAGATCTACTTCATATAGTAAACAAATCTCTTCACTCAGGTATTTTTCCACAGGCCCTGAAAACTGCAGTCATTAAACCGCTCTTAAAAAAAGAATAATCTAGATGCTTCAGTAATGAACAATTACAGGCCCATATCAAACCTGCCATTTCTAGGTAAAATCATTGAAAAAGTTGTTTTTCAACAGTTGAGTAATTTCTTGCATTTAAATAACTGTTTTGATGTGTTCCAGTCAAGCTTTCGTCCAAACCACAGCACTGAGACTGCTCTTGTAAAGGTCTTTAATGACATCCACTTAAACACAGACAGTGGCAGAACTTCAGTGTTAGTATTATTAGATCTCAGTGCTGCGTTTGACACTGTTGACCACAGCATATTACTAGACCGACTGGAAAACTGGGTGGGACTTTCGGAAACAGTTCTAAATTGGTTTGAATCCTACTTAAAGGACAAAAACAACTTTGTTTCTATAGGTAAATACACATCTGAGTTGACAAATATGACATGTGGGGTACCTCAAGGCTCCATCTTGGGGCCTCTTCTCTTTAACGTCTACATGCTACCACTGGCTCAGATAATGAAGAACAACCAAATAAGTTACCATAGCTATGCAGATGACACACAAATGTACGTAACAATTTCACCAGGAGACTATGCTCCAATTCAAACACTGAGTAAGTGCATTGAACAAATCAATGACTGGATGTGTCAGAACTTTCTCCAATTAAACAAAGATAAAACTGAGGTAATGGTTTTTGGAGCCAAGGCAGAACGTATAAAAGTTAGCGCTGAGCTTCAGTCTGCAATGTTCAAAACAACAGATAAAGCCAGAAATCTAGTCATGGACTCTGACCCGAGTTTCAACAGTCACATTAAAACAGTTACTAAATCAGCCTACTATCACCTAAAGAATATATCTAGGATTAAAAGACTAATGTCACAGCAGGATTTGGAAAAACTTGTCCATGCTTTTATCTTCATTAGACTGGACTTCTGCAATGGTGTCTTTACAGGTCTCACTAAGAAATCTATTAGGAAGCTGCAGCTGATTCAGAACGCTGCTGCTCGAGTCCTCACTAACACTAAGAAAGTGGATCACATCACTCCTGTTCTTAAGTCTTTACACTGGCTTCCTGTGTGTCAAAGAATAGATTTCAAAATACTGCTGCTGGTTTATAAAGCACTGAATGGTTTAGGCCCAAAATACATTTCTGACCTCCTGCTAAATGATGAACCATCCAGATCTCTCAGGTCTTCAGGGACTGGTCAGCTTTCTGTCCCCAGAGTCAGAACTAAACACGGTAAAGCAGCGTTCAGTTATTATGCTCCAAATATCTGGAACAAACTCCCAGAAACCTGCAGGTCCGCTGCAACTCTTACTACTTTTAAATCCAGGCTGAAGACTTTTCTTTTTGTCGCTGCTTTTAATTGAACTATTCATATCTTAGACTGCACTGTAACTTTTATCCATGTATTTTTTCTTTTAATGTTTATTTTATTAGCTTCTCTTTTTAATGATGCCATTTTCTTAATGTCTTTCATTTTTTGTAAAGCACTTTGAATTGCCTTGTGTTGAAAAGTGCTATATAAATAAACTTGCCTTGCCTTGCCTTGCCTCTATGAAACGTCAAGCTACCCCACAGTAGCTGGTACATTAATGGGAAACACTAAATGTTTGAGCACCCTCTATGAAACGTCAAGCTACCCCACAGTAGCTTGACGTTTCATAGAGGGTGCGCAAACATTTAGTGTTTCCCATTAATGTACCGGTTGCTACAGTGTAATTTTCTACTGCAACACTCCCCACGCAAATACACAGTACACCAGCGACTGTTACAATGATGGCTCGATAATCAGCTCACGGCATATAGGTGTAAGCAGGGGTAAAGTGCTATATTTATAAGTGGGGAGTGGACCTAACATAGGGGGGTCCAGGGGCATGCTCCCCCGGGATTCTTTTAAATATTGAAGTTAAAGCATCAATCTGGTGCACTTTGAGAGCAACATTAAGAGATCTATCGATACATCTCTCAAAATCCATATGAAACAGAACTGTAAACAGATTTACTTTTTCTTTATGGATATTTTACAAATCACCCTTTTAAACTTTATTATTTTTTTACTAGTATTTCAAACCTGTTTTTCATTTATTCTCTTATTTTTTCATAACTATAATGATCATATAAACGTGTGCCTCGGAAATAATTGTTTACATAAATCGTGACCAAACCGTTTGAGACCCACTGAGATAACTTAGACTAAAGTTAACTATCTAAACACTCAAAGAGTCCTTTAGTTCACTGAGCCTCTCAGTCTGACAGGAGAGGACTCTCCTCCACCTTGTTGTGGAAAAAGCTCCTTATTTCCGTTAGCGTAGCTCGCTAGCACCAGAAGCTAACAACAACGATCTCCGGTACCGGTGCGCTCTCTCTCTCGCGCACGCACACAAAATGGCTCGTTCCACACACATACAGAGACGAGCTTGAATGAAACACAGAAACCCAGACGTAATTGTACTGTACTGTATAATATTATTTTCGAATCAATCATTTTTCAAATTATAATTGTTTTAATTTTTTTGTAATAACCATTTTTCCTACTGGTCTCTCGCTTCCCCCCTGTCATGCCTCTGGTAGCCAATATAAGGCTTAGCAGTACAGATAAATGTGGGCTCACTATTTGGCAAGCAACCAGTCACAGTTGCCCTGTTTATCTCATGTCTTATAAAAGCTTATTCATGATTTATAAAGTGTTCACAACCTAATTAATAAATGAATTACAAACTATTCGTAAACCCTTTATAAGGGTAGTCTTATTGTAAAGTGGTACCGGATTCTTATAAGTTGTACACCACTGATTATCCATTGACCTGATATAACATTGTCAAAATCAGCTAAACAAAAGGACTGATGCAGCAGTTTTATTTTAATAAAAAATTGTATTTGCGTTTTAAGTTAAAATAAATCATTTGTAATTACAAGGCAGGCAGAGATACATAAATGAATTATATAACAATTGACAAATCAGAAGAAAAAAAATTCCTCACACTCTTTTTTTGGTCAAAACGTGCTGCCTACAATACCCACAATGCCACTCGACCCCTGAAAGTTGGCTTGAAGATTTGGATGTTTCATACTAGTAGTGGCTAAAGTAGCCTGGAGACTCATACAGAGTTACAAATTGCTTTCAAACTCCCCCCCCAATATGTTCTGTCTTTAACCTTCAACCCCAACATATGCTGACTCAGGACACATTACTGAAGTGTTGTTAGACTTCATCAGCTGCTTCTGGTGACAAAATAAGACTTTATACAACCTGTATAAAGTCACACTTTTGTAGTTGTATTCCCCAACACCTTGACACTTTAATGTGTAAACTCAAAGTATTCCTCCTTTACGTTAAATGTACAGGACAAAGTAAGCAAAAAACAAAGCATAAATATCTTATATAAAAAATTCCAAACCAGTTGTAACTCTGGGTAATAATTGTGTGATCTTGTTAAACCTCATGCTCACAATAAGAAGCCAACAAAAAGAAGATAATCAGGACCTGAGAGAATGAACGTGTTGGTCTCGTGTTGTTCCAGCGGACGTGGCTCGCTCTATGGGGGCCAAAGTTGTGATTGCAATCGATGTTGGAAGTCGGGATGAAACCAACTTAACCAACTATGGCGACTCTCTGAACGGCTGGTGGCTGCTATGGAAACGCTTCAACCCTCTGTCTGAGAAAGTCAAGGTACTATTCATGTCAGATGTGTACTATTTTTAGTACTTAGTGGGAAACGACTATTGTATCACTTACTGATATTATTTGAGAGAAATAGTGGAGAGTATGTGAGAATGGTGGAATGTAAGCAATCCGATCGGCCTTCGCAGCCCTGTAAGACTCGACTCTTGTTACCTCCCAGGTCCTGAACATGGCAGAGATCCAAACCCGGCTAGCATACGTCTGCTGTGTGCAGCAGCTGGAGCAGGTCAAAGACAGCGAGTACTGCGAGTACATCCGGCCACCCATCGACCACTACGGCACACTGGAGTTCGGCAAGTTTGACGAGATCGCTGTGAGTTTTCGCTCTGTTCCTCAATGTAATATTACCCATGCCTCCTCCACCTGGAGGCTTAGATTATCCCTCTGACCCCCAACCTCCATGTGTGCAGGAGGTGGGGTACCAGCACGGAAAGACATTGTTCGACGTGTGGCAACGCAGTGGTGTGGTGGACAGCATGCTGAAGGACAGACATCAGGAGGAGTTCCACAAGACCAAAACTGGCCATGTGAGTGCAAACTGCAGAAACTACTGACCTAGACTATGATAGATTTTGAATTACTGATCATGTTTTGTTTTACGCGCCAAAGGCACAATGTATCTCATAGTTCTTAATTTGGTCCGTCCTTCTGTCCTCTTCTTGTTAATGTGGTTAATACAATTTCTCTATGTGGTCAGAGATTCAGTTCATGCAGCAGTGAGGCCCAACACACATGTTGTTCCCAGCCTATGGCTTCTTTTTAAGAGTTTTAACATGCTCACTGTAATTTTTTATTATTGACATTGCATTGCTACATTTTTAGATGCTTCAACTATTCATAATTATCCGGTGAATCACCAGTACCTCCTTCATAACCTTCAACAACTAGCAGTCTCTGGCTCTGCACTTCCCATGCTCACATCATTCAGAACCTGCCAACGAACCTCTGAGGTCCCTCAAGGCTCTGTTCTGGGTCCTTTTTTCTCTGTACACCAATTAACTTGGTTAATTATTGTAATTTCTGTATTAGTTACTTAAAATGGTTTATTGGAAGTTATATGTAATGTCACTCTTGCTGATCTGAATTTGTATCCTCATGGTTGTGTTCACTTATTGTATGTGCAGTATTATATGCTGCACATACCTCTACACGTCACCTAGCTTGTGGCATGCAGGATTACACAGAAGCAGGATTTACTCTCAAACCATGCTCTAGTGACACTAGTGACTACAAACACTTGAGTGCATCTTTAAATGCACTCATTTTAGTGCCAGTGGTGTCATGGTAAGCCATTGAATTATCAAATAGGTGAAGGCTTTGTCAGCACAAAGTCACAGCGACTTATTTAAAAGGAAAAATGTATGCCAATTGATGTCTGTTTGTAAAGGAGGAAGAAAAAAGACGGATTGACTTTAGAGTAATGCAGTTTGTGTCTTTCAGGTGGTCACGTGTCCCAACGCGTCCTTCACAGACCTGGCAGAGATAGTGTCGAGAATCGAACCTGTCAAGAATCCAGTGATCGATGGTTAGTTATCAGAAAATATTGTAATCAATAAACAATGCATCAAAAATGTTTTATATAAACTCTTGTGGATCTTCCTTAAAATACTGCTTTTGATTTTGACTACTCTATATCCACTTCAAACACGGGACACTATGTCCATCCTCTAAAGCTCTCAGAAGGATAACGTTTTTTAAAAAATACATAAATCATCCTTTTGGAAATCTATATAATGATAACGTTTTATGATTTCAAACATTCATTTTTGTAAAACATTTGTTGAAGAAAATAGTGAAAAAAGATGCTCTTGTTGTCTGCTGTAATGTGTGCCTGTAGAGGAACTGTCTGATGATTGCCAGACGGACTACGATGAGGAGGCCGTGGAGAGCGCGCTCTCCGACTACGAAGCCTTCACTCAGGGCAGTGAACACACCGAAGAAGAGGAGACAGCAGACACTGCTGAAACTGTGTGTACAAAACTACATCATTTACTCATTGTTAATGAATTTACTCCTCAGGGTTTCAATTATGTCATATTACCACAGCAATCATTTCTACATTAATAGCAGGGGGGGGGGGAAGTACTCAGATCTTGTACTTGAGTAAAAGTAGAAGTACTCAGGTCTTGTACTTGAGTAAAAGTAGAAGTACTCAGATCTTGTACTTGAGTAAAAGTAGAAGTACCAGAGTGTAGGAATACTCTGTTACAGTAAAAGTCCTGCATTCAAAATGTTACTCAAGTAAAAGTAGAAAAGTATTCTCATCAAAATATAGTGAAAGTAGTGACAGTAAAAGTAGTGATTGTGCAGATTGGTCCATTTAAGAATAATATATATACAGTGGGGCAAAAAAGTATTTCGTCAGCCACCAATTGTGCAAGTTCTCCCACTTAAAAAGATGAGAGAGGCCTGTAATTTTCATCCTAGGTATACCTCAACTATGAGAGACAAAATGAGAAAATAAAATCCAGAAAATCACATTGTCTGATTTTTAAAGAATTTATTTGCAAATTATGGTGGAAAATAAGTATTTGGTCAATAACAAAAGTTCATCACAATACTTTGTTATATACCCTTTGTTGGCAATGACAGAGGTCAAACGTTTTCTGTAAGTCTTCACAAGGTTTTCAAACACTGTTGCTGGTATTTTGGCCCATTCCTCCATGCAGATCTCCTCTAGAGCAGTGATGTTTTGGGGCTGTCGCTGGGCAACACAGACTTTCAACTCCCTCCAAAGATTTTCTATGGGGTTGAGATCTGGAGACTGGCTAGGCCACTCCAGGACCTTGAAATGCTTCTTACGAAGCCACTCCTTTGTTGCCCGGGCAGTGTGTTTGGGATCATTGTCATGCTGAAAGACCCAGCCACGTTTCATCTTCAATGCCCTTGCTGATGGAAGGAGGTTGTCACTCAAAATCTCACGATACATGGCCCCATTCATTCTTTCCTTTACACGGATCAGTCGTCCTGGTCCCTTTGCAGAAACACAGCCCCAAAGCATGATGTTTCCACCCCCATGTTTCACAGTACGTATGGTGTTCTTTGGATGCAACTCAGCATTCTTTCTCCTCCAAACACGTCTAGTTGAGTTTTTACCAAAAAGTTCTATTTTGGTTTCATCTGACCATATGACATTCTCCCAATCCTCTTCTGGATCATCTAAATGCTCTCTAGCAAACTTCAGACGGGCCTGGACATGTACTGGCTTAAGCAGGGGGACACGTCTGGCACTGCAGGATTTGAGTCCCTGGCGGCGTAGTGTGTTACTGATGGTAGCCTTTGTTACTTTGGTCCCAGCTCTCTGCAGGTCATTGACTAGGTCCCCCCGTGTGGTTCTGGGATTTTTGCTCACCGTTCTTGTGATCATTTTGACCCCACGGGGTGAGATCTTGCGTGGAGCCCCAGATCGAGGGAGATTATCAGTGGTCTTGTATGTCTTCCATTTTCTAATAATTGTTTCCACAGTTGATTTCTTCACACCAAGCTGCTTACCTATTGCAGATTCAGTCTTCCCAGCCTGGTGCAGGTCTACAATTTTGTTTCTGGTGTCCTTTGACAGCTCTTTGGTCTTGGCCATAGTGGAGTTTGTAGGTGACCAAATACTTATTTTACCGAGGAATTTACCAATTAATTCTTTAAAAATCCTACAATGTGATTTCCTGGATTATTTCCCCCCATTCTGTCTCTCATAGTTGAAGTGTACCTAGGATGAAAATTACAGGCCTCTCATCTTTTTAAGTGGGAGAACTTGCACAATTGGTGTCTGACTAAATACTTTTTTGTCCCACTGTATATATGTTTTATAATGATTGATCATGAAAGTGTTCTCAAAGCTGGTAAAGGTGCAGCTAGTTTGAATGACTTTGTATACTGCAGGGTAGCTGGTGGATTTACTCCAGGTGGAACTAAAGTCTGATTTAACACTTGATTATATTTCATATCATTCATCCACATCTGTAAAGTAACTAAAGGTATTAAATACATGTAGTGGAGTAGAAGTACACCATGTACCTCTGAACTGTAGTGGGGTAGAATTACAAAGTAGCAAACATTTTACTTTAGAACAGTACTTGAGTAAATGTACTTAGTTACTCTACACCACTGATTAATTTATAGTAATGATTGTTTTCTCTGTTTCACAGGATGAGGAAGTTCAAATCCGAGTTCGACGCCGGCCCAAAAATGCTGCACTAAGTCCTACACCATGACTCCAAAAAACATGCATGTAAAGGCAGTATTTCTGGTAACCGATAAGGAATTCTCAAACATGCAGCTTATACTCTTATCCAATCAGCAGCCAGGTAGCTCAAGTCTTCCTCTAACACACTCAGCAGGACTGTAGTTGGATACAGCGACTTCTTGTTCAGAGCTTTCAGCAAAAGAAGGGAGTTTTAAGACAGGGAGGAGCCACAGTGTGTCGCTGTCTCCTGCACAGACTTCAGTGCTCAAACAGTTCAGTTAGAACCAGGGTTTATTGGAGAAATCAAAAGCACATATTTTTACAAACTGGTTTATTAACAGCACGGTGTATTTTTCTACTTGTTTGACACATTGGTTGTTTTGTATGGCAGTTCCTTGCTCTGTTGTTCTGGAAAAATAGGAAACAAATACATACAAGCAATTCAAGCACACTTAAAATGGACTGGAACATTTTTAATTTAATATGTATAGTATATACAGGGCTATTTCTGCCACAGATCTAGGCATAGTTGCTTCCTACCATAATAAGCTTAACCCATAAAGCACTATTGTGCAATTCATGATGTTTACATATAAGTTAAAACAGTTAATATGCATTTGATGTGCCTTGAATGAACTCCCCTTTCATCTTCTCTTCAGAGCATAAACACACCACATGGTGACCACGTTTCATCCCAACAAGAATAGCATACAGTACAATACACTTTTTCACCTATGCGAAATAACTTGCATTGGATAAATATCATGTATGAATTTCTTACAGCGTTCCTCAGCAGCACCGCCATGCAGGGAAGGCAGACTTTATTTCAACAAATATTTGTGGATGTACACTACTGTTCGACAATGCACAAAAGACATGGTGGAGCTGCCCGCTGATGGCACAAATTCAAAGGATTTTGAATGGCAATAAACCACTTTAGTAAAAAAGAAGAAAAGTATTTAATTGTTGGGAAACATTTGCCGTTGCCTTCCATAAAAACCTGCTGGTTTAAAGGACATTTCCTCGCAGTTTGACACCATGTGGCTTGATTTTTAGTTTTTTTCTTAACAGTAAAAATGATTTGATTATAACAGTTAGTAGAGATACGTATACATAGTGTTCAACAAGTACGTTTGCAATTGAAACACAGCATTGGACGTAATCCAATAAAACAGGTGTAACACAATTCATAAACAATGGGCTAATATTAGCATAACTAATTTGGGTGCAAAATGAATAATATTATTCATTTCCCATGTTTGCTCTTTTTTGAAACCCTTGGTTTTGCTGAGTCTCAATGGGAAGTCCCGGTTTAACAAAGGTTAAACAGGTAAAATACAAAAATGACAGCTGTTCTTTTAAACATGACATGAAAACATGTTTCTGTGAGCACAAACTTGACCCCAGAGGAAATCTACAAAGAGCAGACTCAGCCAGCGGTGCGTTCACAGGCTCTTCTCATGGTCCCTTTACTGAGTTGGGAAGTCACTTTTATTTGTGGTATGGAAACAATGTGTTGTTTTGCTCGGTGTTTAAACACAACGTGATATCTGTTTGCAAGTTATTGTTCCAACTCGAGCGGGCCTTCATAAGAACTGTTCTATTAGGAAAGTATTATGTCCGATTATTACGACAACACATGAATGCAGCACACATTCTCTATCTCGCAATGTGAATGAAAGTTAAACATTATTTTTGTATCCGTTCATCCTTGGACTATGCCTCTCACTTCCATTAGGTCTGATGAAAATAGGGCCAGTAGTTTTCTGTGATCCTGCTGACTGACAGACAGTTATTGCGTCAATCATAGTTTTCATGAACATGAATAGACGTGTACCCAGCCAGTTTGCACAGCATAGTGTATTTACTCTTGTTACACCAAGTATTGTTGTTGAATTTGGATAAAGTTATTCATTCAACCCGAGGACAGATCACTGGTCTCACCTTATACGACTAAACATGTGTTGGTACAGGTGCAAGCCTGGTGCCTGGAATGTGAAACTTTATAATAGAGTTATATTGATAGAAGGTGATCATCATTGTAAGGGTGATTATGACAGGACATCCTGAAACTGGTACTAACCCACTACAGCATTTAATGTAACATTACACTTTTTATAGCTGCTTTTTCATCACCGTGGTTACAGCTCCTGTGGTTTTGATTTGTGATTTTAATATTGATGACCTGAAGGGAAAAGTGCCAAGCGTATAGTGACTTCTGAAGACCATCTCTGTTTATGTTAATGATGTGTATGTTATCATTAACATAAAACATAAATGTAGACATTGGCTTTGACAAACTGTTGGTTTTCTTTCAGTTTTTGTTACTTATTTTTGGTGAAATAGTTGCATAGAATATTGTAGAAAGCTTTAGAATATTTAATTATACATGTTTAGTGAATAACCTGCTTGTTTAAATTAAAACGAATGCACTATTTGATAGAATCTTAAAGCCAAAGTTGTGGAAAAACTGAACAGCAAAGTCCAGACGATGAGTTCTTCTTTGGAATCTGAAATGAAACTGTAACCAATTTTCCCCTGGAATAATAAAGTCTTTCTGATTCTGATGTTGCCATGAAAAACTAAAACATGTTCTGAATGACTGTCACAGTGTTTAGGTTCTATACATGTTAGATCAGAGTATGTTTTTAAGCTATGTGACTTAATGATGAAAAAATGTCAACGCTTACTGATGCATTTATCAAAATATCAAGCACAAGAAATAACCCAGATATATTTCCTATATTAGATTTTAAATGCAGGATTTGTACTTTAGTATTTGTATACTCTAGTATTGTTAGTTTTACTCAAGTAAAATACCTATGGTGTTCTTGTATTTTATTTAATAAATTCTGCTGAACATTGTGCCTGTCCTTGCAGAATGGCAGGTGTTTTTTCCAGTGTGCAACATGATAAACTCACCGATAGTCTTGTCTGTCCATTAAAAAAAAAGACCGAAGAGTAATTTGGATTAACATTTATTCGTAAGATGGTCATGTAGGGACCACAGACTGCATGTGTCCGTCCAGACATGGGGTGAGACAGGAGCAAAACACAGCACAGAGCTAACCCACAGTCTTTAAAAAACCGAATCAGTATAAGGTTATAACATTTCCCAGAAAGAGTGCAATTTTAACACCACCAGGACAACAAAAGGAAACCCGCTCCACCTTCGTAGCCAGTTGCCTAAATGCTTCACTTCCAACATAGAAAAAGAATAACTTGGTTTTCTTCACATTACATACTAAATGCTTTTTTTTTTTTTCGGGAGGCAGGGGTAAGAGAAGTGAATGTTAGTAGTGGTGGCTACAAGTTTCAACACATGAATGTTAGAGAATGATAAAGCTTAAAGAATGTTTGCATTTGTGAACCTAACCCTACATTGCACTTGGGAAAACAAATATAAAATATAGGTAGTGTATGACACCCCAACATCCATACCGGCAACACATATAAATAAACTTCATGCAGGGCCAGTGTTTTCATGTTCCCCCTATTAAAAAGGTACCAAGGCTACATGTTTGCAAACCAAATGGGGATATCATTTAATAAAGTTTTCACATTCAAAAAAATACCTACAGCGGCGGGTGTATTTTGCTGTTGGTTACGTGCCTCCCAGCGGCAGAGCGTCACTCGAGGCCGGCTCCATCGCTGACTGTGTTCACGAGCTGCAACTCAGCCACCCCGATGCACCGGCAATAGCGCTCGGGGACATGAACCAATGTCGCCTCGAGACTGTGTTACCTGGGTTCCAGCAGTATGTTAAAGGTCCGATGACATGGCCATTTCTACTGATCATAATTATATTGTTGAGGTCTACTAAAATAGATTTATATTGTGCAATTTTCCAAAATTGGGAGGCGTGTGGTGGGGTTGTGCGTTGGTGTTCGGATCAGGGGGTCACAGGTTCAAACCCCACTGCAGTCAGCATGTCGTTGTGTCCCTGGGCAAGACACTTCACCCCAAAGTGCTCCTGTGGGGATTGCCCACAGTATTGAGTAGGCCTATGTAAGTCGCTTTGGATAAAAGTGTCTAACACACATCTCTGTATAGTATGTGTATTCACTCTCTGTCCTAAACGGCTTGTTGGAGCTCCTGCCCCATACACTATTAATCTGTTTATTATAAATAAAAACAGGGACAACATTTTTACCAGGCACTGAACTAGTCATGCATTAATTTATTATGTGTGGGAATAAGGCAACTGGCACTACCTTGACACATCTGTCGCATATGGACCTGAATAATTCATAATTGTAATAATTAAATTATAATAAAATGTTGGATTATATACTGACAGTTTCAGAGTGAATACAAAAGATGGGAGTGTTTGTCATTTACGTATATTTATTTTAATGACTATTTACGATTTTTGGAGGAAGACTATGGAAGCAAACAAGAGACAGAAGTATTTGAATTTTATCAGACACCGAATTTATAGCATTGAGAATAATTACTTTGAAAATAATGTATCTGAATATTTTTTGCTCCGAATTTACCCATGTGAAATACAAATGTTAAATATTCAATTAAAAAAATGTGAATGTTCAAATTCAGATCCAAAAAATTCGGTGTGTAAAATTCGACGTCAAAAATTGCGATGCAGGGCTACTCAGACAGGATAAGCAATCGAGTCCGAATGCAATCAAACCGACTTCTGGCCTATCAGCAGGGTCCGCGTCATGGGGGGTCATTCGCGGGCCATGCCCCCCCAAATGAGTCACTGTGCCCCCCCCAACGCAGGGTGGCAAGCCTTGCCACTTCTTTTTTTTAATCATATAAGTGAAAAAGTTTCCATTAAGTTTTTTTGTGTGAAATACATCAGAAATAAAGAATACAAATATAAAACGCAGCCTGAGGTGTGCTCACTGCTGCTCTCTGATTGGTGTGTTGCTTGACCAATGACCCCCGACTTTTGTTTTGTTATCATTACGTGGCTGACTGGCTGTGTGTTTAGATGAAAGCCGGTGGCGATCTGTTCATCTGTTACACTAATTATACAGTAAAGCCATCGGAAATAATATGATATACAGTACAGTACAAGTAGCCTTTTTCTGGGTCTCTGTGTTTCATTCAAGCTCGGCTCTGTGTGTGTCTGTGTGTGTGTGGCACGATCGCATTTTGTGAGTGCACGAGCGGTAACGTGGAATGTTGTTGTTAGCATCTGGTTAGCTAGCTATGCTAACGGATATACAGAGCTGTTTCTACAACAAGGTGGTGGAGAGTCGTCTCCTGTCAGACTGAGAGGATCGTATAACCTCAGCTCAGTGAGGTAAGGACTCTCTCAGTGTTTAGATAGTTCACTTTAGTGTAAGTTATCTCAGTGGGTCTCAAACGGTTTGGTCACCATTTATGTAAACAAGTATTTGCGAGGAATACCTTTATATGATCATTAGCCTATAGTTATTACAAAAATAAGAGAATAAATGAAAAATGGGTATGAAGTACTATAGGACAGTAACACAAGAATACAGTTTAAAAGGGGATTGATTAGTAACATATCCATAAAGAAAAAGTAAATATGTGTACAGTTGTGTTTCATATGGATGCTGAGAGATGTAGGCTATCCATATATCTCCTAATGTTGCTCTCAAAGTGCACCAGATTGATTTTCATGTATTCTCTCTGGCTGTCCATCTCATAATGTTCACATAAAAACTAGCTGTCAATAGTAATATCATTCAGAAGAATTATAATTTCTTGCAAAAATCTGTCACAAAAAGAGGTTGCACATTTAAATTCAGGTGTTGTTATGGCAACGCTGCTGCTGCAAATACGTTCAAACATGCAGTCGACACGTAAAGCAGTGGCAACTATGCCACCATTTCAGCTGACTTTTTCTCAGAAATACTGTCGCATAACATCCATATACAGTTGCAAGAAAAATTATGTGAACCCTTTGGATTCTCCACACATAGCGTTGTGTGTTCCTTCCAAACAACTCAACTTTGGTTTCATCTGTCCACAGAATATTTTGCCAGTAGTGCTGTGGAACATCCAGGTGCTCTTTTGCAAACTTCAAACGTGCAGCAATGTTTTTTCTGGACAGCAGTGGCTTCCTCCGTGGTGTCCTCCCATGAACTCCATTCTTGTTCAGTGTTTTACGTATCGTAGATTCGTCAACAGAGATGTTAGCATGTGCCAGAGATTTCTTTAAGTCTCTAGCTGACCCTCTAGGATTCTTCTTCACCTCATTGAGCATTCTGCGCTGTGCTCTTGCAGTCATCTTTACAGGACGGCCACTCCTAGGGAGAGTAGCAACAGTGCTGAACTTTCTCCATGTATAGACAATGTGTCTTACCGTGGACTGATGAACATCAAGGCTTTTAGAGATACTTTTGTAACCCTTTCCAGCTTTATGCAAGTCAACCATTCTTCATCGTAGGTCTTCTGAGAGCTCTTTTGTGCGAGGCATGGTTCACATCTGGCAATGCTTCTTAAGAATAGCAAATTCAAAACTGGTGTGTATTTTTTATAGGGCAGGGCAGCTTTAACCAACACCTCCAATCTCGTCTCATTGATTGGACTCCAGGTTGGCTGACTCCTGACTCCAATTAGCTCTTGAAGAAGTCTTTAGCCTAGGGGTTCACATACTTTTTCCACCCTGCACTGTGAATGTTTACATGGTGTGTTCAATAAAAACATGAAAACATATAATTGTTTGTGTGGTATTAGTTTAAGCAGACTGTGTTTGTCTATTGTTGTGACTTAGATGAAGATCAGAACACATTTTATGACCAACTTATGCAGAAATCCAGGTCATTCCAAAGGGTTCACATACTTTTCCTTGCAACTGTATTTCAGTGCTAGGTTGATGCTTAGCTAAGATAACTATGAAATACTTTAACTGACAGAACTCAGAATCAACTGTGAACTGTAAGGTAGCTTCGAGCTTCATGTCGAACAGTAAGTCAACATTTTCCAGAGAGCTTTCTTTGAAATCACCAGGTAACGCTAAAAAACATTACATTTAGATTGTATGACAAAGTGTTTATTTAATATCTCTGGCTAGCTACTTGCTAACGGTTTAGCTTACCCCGGCGATTCAAAGTAACGTCAACGTAGCTGTAATTTATGCTTTGCTTACATGTTCGCATAACTTGGAAGTTTACTGATATTTACATACCTTGTTTACCTGGCTCAAGTGGTGGCTCTGGGGTTGTTGTGTGAGCCACTACTTGAGAATTGTCGTCTTTTTTAAGAAAATATATTCTTATGTCCATCTTCAAAAACTCTGAGTCCGACTGACAGTTTATTTTAAACATTGTCACAGCTCACAGGATAGGTACCTGTCAGCCAATAAGACAGATGTTTATTTCCATTCAACTCTCTGGTTGGTCTGGTGCTTATATATACAGTCTATGGTCTGGTGTCTTGCCTCTGTTGCATTCACTGAACACGGGAAATTACAATCCTGCCGTCCTCTCTAGTGTCATGATGAGGTTCAGGTAAAGCACGGTCAATGTATTATATTATTGACTCAATAATATAATACATGACTTTTTTTTTTTTTTTTTTGCTAGGGGGCCCCTTAGTGGCTGCGGGGCCCTAAGCGGCCGCTTATGTCGCTTAATGGGTCGGGCCGGCTCTGGTTAGTTTGCTAGTTAGGTTACTGTATGCATTGTTAAGGTTCGTTTAAATTCGCTATGCTCTACTATAGCATAAAATAGACTAGCTAACGTCAACGTATTGTTGAAGAGAGGCTTAGTGTATATTAAATCAACCTCACAATGAAATGTGTGTATCTTTAAAGTATGAACGTCACATTTCAAGATGGTCCAGAAATAACGCTCCCTTAGATATTGTAATATGGTTTGTTGAACTGGAGTTATTTATTGCAGCTAACCGCCTATCCGACGAACGACCCAAACATTGTTGTTTATAATATTATTACCAATGCCTCTTTTAATTGTATTATCCT